CCTAATAGCTCCATGCTCTTACCCACCCAGGAGGGAATTCCTTCTGCTCCAAAGCAAGGCAGAAATGGGACATTTGAGAGGAGCTGCAGGGGCAGCAGCAGCCCCTGGGTCACTCACCAGTCATCTCCCACGTTGAAGGCATTGAGGCTCTTGGTGAAGCCCTGCATGTTGTTGGGGCTCACCCTCTGCAGGAAATCGATGTAATCCTCGGAGTGGAATCTGCACATGTCGTGTTGGGATGCTTGGTAGGGCTTGAACACCTTGCAGAGATAAAAGCAGGAGTTATTTCCCATGGAAATTCCATTTTTTTTGGGCTGGAAGGATGCTCAAGCTAACTGATAATTGGCCTGTATGAGGTACATTAAAAACGTGCCAACACTGGTATTTATATTCATTTAAATTCAACAGCTGCTCAGGAGACAAAAGCAGGAATTATTTCCCATGAAATTCCATTTCCTTGGGCTGGAAGAATGCTCAAGTTAACTGATAATTGCCTTGCATGAGGTACATTAAAAATGTGCAAACACTGGTATTTATATTCATTTAAATTCAACAGCTGCTCCACGAATCCTGCTCTCATTTTTTCCCCTTTCATAAATTCACCTCCTGCCACTCCTGACTGCAGCTCTTGCCATAAAATCTTTTCCTACCCCATGGCACATTCCCCTGCTTGGGCAGCAAAATAAACCTTCCTTCACTGGGGGGGAATCATTCCTTCCTCAGCCACCAATTTTCCACAGTTAAAACCTTGATCTAGGGGTGGTTCTGGTCCCTCTGTAAGATTTTTTTTTCCAATAATTTTAAAACCTTGATCTAGGGGTGTTTCTAGTCCCTCTTTAAGATTTACTGACAAGTTCCAAATTATTTGGAGAAATCTCCCAGCCAGATGGAAGAGTTGCAGAAGTTTTGTTTATTTTGGAAAGGAAAATGGGGGAATGGTCAGGGAGGTGGATGGACTCAAATGCAGGATCTTGTGACAACAAAAGTTTGCCAGTTTGGCACTTAGGGCACATACCTCAGTAGAGGGGAAGTTAAAAATTAACACCACTGGGAGTGGAAATTCAATTGAGAAGAGATCTTTTTTTGTGATTTCCAATCTCTCTGATTTAAAGCAACCACTTGATAGAAAAAAGTGGAACATGAACATAACAGGAAAATGCCCCAGATGGTCTCCAAAGGGAAATTCCTCAGGACAAGTGCACCACGGTCCTGTTTTCTGTGCTGAGCAGGAAACCTGTTCATTTTCAGAGCCACAATAACCCAAACCAAGCCCAGCTCCTCCTCTCCTGGTGCTTTCCATGTGGATTTGTGGATTTTGGGGCTTGCTCTGCCTCTGACAACTCAAACAGGGATGAGGAAACTCCTTGGAGCAGGGGGAAGGCAGGAGTTATTCCCAGGGATCCCCCAGGAATTCTGGTGGTTCATGAAACCAAACCAGACAAAAAATGATGGCAAAGAGAGAAGAAATGGCTCTCACTGGACAGCCAGAGCTTCTCAATCAAAATGTGGGAATCAAACAAGAAAGGGAGGGAAAACCAAACTGAAATCCTCACTCAGCTGCTGGCAGAACAAACCTGGCTCCTTCCACCCTTCCCAATAATCCCACCCACGTTCCTGAGCTGGGAAAGGTGGGAAGAGGCAAACCCAGCCCAACAGGATCACAGCCTTTTATTTTAAGGAGGCAGAAACAATGCAACACAAAATCAGCAGGACTTTTTACAGTCCCAGCTGCTCCAAATCCCCGATTTTATTTGCTCCTAACTCTGCCAGCCCCTGACTATTTGGGGATGAAGTTGTCTGTGAGATTTTCAGCTTCCCAGTGGCACCTTGTGAAAAATCTAACCCCCTAAAAAAGAGAATTTCAAGACTAAAAATGCAGAGCTCTGCCCACTGCCTCCTCCAAGCAGAGATTTGCCATTTAGAAGCGTTAGGGTTTTTGCAAGGAAAAGCCCAAATCCAGGGAAGTTACTGGTGAAATGCACACATACACAGTGCCATACACAACCCATACACTGTGACAATAAAAAACTGGAAGAGGGACTTTAGAAAGGCTCCCCACGGTCACTGCAAGAGCTGCATTTCTGCGCTGGATGTGGTTTTATTCGAGAATTATATTAATTAAGGAAACTTTTCTCGTGTCTAAACATTGAAAATTCTTTTCAGAAATTGCATCTCTACATTTGCCTGACCTCACCAGCTCTCGGAATCCTCTCCAGCTGCATCAAGAGACCAGGACTGAGCTCTACAAGCATTCTGAACACATTTATTTCATCACCCACTAATGCAGCCCCTCAAAAAAACCCTGAGGGCTCGGTTTAGAAGTGTCACACCCTCAGAGCTCTGCGCGGTGCCCTCCTGTCCCCAACCCCCGCCCGGCTGGGGACACGCGTGGCTTACGATCATTTTCTTGTAGAGGCCATAATGCAGCACCAGGCTGTGCGTGAGCGCCAGGCGATGCGGCTTCATGGGGTGCCCCGCGCCTGGAACGGAACCGCGCGGGGATTAACGGGGCTCAGGGGGGGACACAACGGCCGCGCCCGCCGCCCGCCGACCACCGCGCTCCGCAGCACGACCGCCACAGGCCGAGGGTGACGAGGGGAATGGGAACGGGGAGGAAGAGGGGAAGGGATGGGGAAATGGGAGAAGGGGCTGGGTCAGAGCCCCGCCGCTGGGGGCCCCGGCCACAGCCGCTCCGCCGCCCAGCCCCGCTGCTGCCCCGACCGCGCTCGCACCGTAGTGGAAGTTCCCCACGTCCGGGTCGTAGAAATAGGCCACGGTCTTCGCCATGGCGGACAGGCCGCGCTCCTGCTTACGTCATCACGGCGCGACACCCCACGAAAGAGGGCGTGGCCACTGTGAAGGGGCGCGGCCATTTTGAAAGGGCGTGGCTTCAGGCAGGGAGTGTGGGCACCGTAAAGGGGCGTGGCTTCTGGCAGGGGGCGTGGCTTCACTGTACTGTCACTGTGGGGGGCGTGGCTTCTGGCAGGGGGCGTGGCTACCCTGCGTTATGTCCCAGTGCCCCCCCCCCCGCACTCCCCAGTTCCTCCAGACTGGTCCCAGTTGCCTCCAGCGCTTCACAGCGCCCAGGCCCTCCCTGGTGCCCCCCCCCTCACCCCAGCTGCCCAGAGTTAGCCACAGTCACATCGAGTTGTGCCACAGTCTCACCTGCCTGCCCTGTACCTGCCCCCGCTTACTCCCAGTTGCTGGCTGGACTCTCTCCCATAAGCCCATGTTGTCTCCCCAGTCACCCTCAGCTCCCCCAGTTATCCCTCACTGCCCCTCATCTACTCCCAGTTACCCCCAGCAGATCCCAGTTGCCCACTGGATTCTCTTCTCTAGACCTGCAGCTGCCTCCCAGTCATTCCCAGTTCATTCCAGATGCCTGCTGGATCCTCTCACATAATTCCACATTTGCTCCCTCCTTCTCACCTATTCCCAGTCATTCCCAGCTGCTCCAGTCACTCCCAGTGAGCCCAGCTGGCCACTGGATTCTCTTCTCTAGGCCCCCAGTTGGCTCCCAGTCACTCCCACCTGGCTCCCAGTCACTCCCAGCCTCCCCAGTGAGGTTTCCATGGGACATCCCCACCTGGATGGGACTCATTCCATTCTGGGGCAGCCAATGGCTGAGGGATGGGGACCTGCCACCACCAGCTGTCCCCTGGGAGGGTGCAGGTCCTTAAGACTTTTTGAAAGGTCCCTTTGGAGGAGGACAAAAATTGGGTGGGAAATTGCTGGGTGTGAGGAGTCAGAGGAATGGGGGAAAACCTGGAGCTGACAAGAGATGGAAAAGATGGAAACAGGACCGTGGTGTGAGCAGTGCTGGCTGGGAAGGGCAACAAAATCCTCCCAGTGGGCTGGAGAGAGGAAAGGATGGACAGAGCAGGAAGCCTTGTCCAAAGGTTTGGAAAACCAAGCCAAAATCAATGCTTGGTGCTGCCAGATTCTCGCAGACAGGGAACATTCCCAAACTTCCCAGGAATTTGGGATGAAGCTGTGCTGGAGACAGGCTGCTCAACCCAGCAGGGGTCACAGAGAGGGGCTGAGGATGGTGAGCAGGGCAGATGGGCACTGGGATGTTCCCTGGCATCTCAGGGGATGCCAGGCTGGGATTTCCAGGGGATGGAAACCCCTTGGAAGCAGCAGGAAGAGCTTCCTGCCTGTATGGGATGGGGCATGGGATGGCAGGGAATTCGGAGTGCTGCAGGTGGAAGAGACAACGTGTCAAGGTGTGATTAAATCGTGGAGGTGTTAAATGACATTTCTGGCTGTCCCCTGTGGGGACACTGCCCCCTCCACACCGCTCCTTGGGTGGGTTTCCTTTTAGGATCCCAGCTCCAGCGTGGAGCAAGGATCACAGGATGGTTTAGGGGAGAGGATTGGGCAGGGACACTTTGAGAGGAGACCCAGGACCCTCTCAGTGTGACCCCACAGGGCACAGCTGTGGCTTGGGACACTCAGAGAGGTCACCTGGCACAGAGCCCAGCACCCACAGTGAGCAATAACTGGGATTTAAACGTGTTGATCCACACGGCTGTACTGGGAACTCACGGAGCTCTGACGTCTCGGGTGACAACCATGACGAGTGTCCTGTCCCTGCTCCACCAGCTGCTGCCACCAGATAACGCCAGGCTGGGGACATGGAGCCACTCGGGCAGCACGTCCCAGCGCCTGGCTGGGGGAATGGGGTGAGGAGAGGAGAAAGAAACACGTCCCTGCTTCCAGCTGGGATCACTTTGCTGGCTGAGCTGTGTTTCTGGAAGCTGGTCACTGCTCCGGGTATCTTCAGGGTGTTGGAGAAGAGCAAGGGAAGCGTTGGACAGGGATATTTTTAGGTGCTCTTTGTGCTCAGAGAGCAAAAGCAGGCTGTGGTTGAGCGGCCATTAGCTGCTGGGCATGTTTGAAAAGCTGAAACAGGGCTGAGGATTCCGTTTGACACGATGGGATGGAGCAGCTCTGCAGACACGGTGGCGATTTCTGGCCTGAGCATCGAAGCGAAGATCCCAAGAGGAGCCTGGATCTGGGCACTCCAGCCCCTTTAGCTGCCACACGGGGTCAGGGTGGCTGATCCCCCCAAAAGGATCGTGTTCACAACGTTTGTGGGGTGATGTTTGCTCCAATGGCTGCGGAAGAGGTGCGGGAGAAGAGCGGACAAGAGGTAATGTGGAATTTTGCTGGGACCAGAGCCAGCCAAGGGACAGGGTGACAGGTGCCAGCACTGTCCCACCAGCCTCTCCTCACTCTGTCCCCTCCCTCCCGAGCCACCTTTTAACATGTCAGTGTTTCCAGGCAATGCCTGGAGAGGGACTGAAGCCTCCAAGGACCTCCAGGATTCCGGAATACCCTGAGAGGGTCCCTGGGAAGGAAGGGCAGAGGTTGGTGGTGCTGGATGAGGTGGGCAGGCAGGAAGAAGGCAGCTGCCTCTCCCAGAGCTCCAGCTCGATTTTCCTGTCTTTAGATCCCACTGCCTGCGCTCTGGGGTCACCCAGGACAGGACAGGAGCTGGGATGGGACAAAGGATGCAGAGCCCAGACTGGGACATGCCAGCCCCCAGGAAATCCTTGGTGTAGGGGCTTTAACCCACGTGGGTTCTGTCCCCATGGCCAGCCTGCTCGGAAGGGACAGCCCCATTTTGTGGATTCACGCCTCAAATGCTGGCAGCTTTGGGGGCAGACAGGAGCCAGGGTGTTGTTTCTGGGTCACCTGTGATGTGCTGTGTGGGACCATTAAAATTCTAACGGGGTCCTGCAGCGTTGGACTGAGCCCCTGCAGGGACACTGAAGCTGAGGAGGTGGCAGCAGGATGGAGAATAGGAGCAGGTGATCCCTGGTTGGAAGAATCAGGAAGAGAAACACGATCAGTTGGGATAATCCAGCTGCAGAGCCAGCAGGGAGCAGCTTGACAGCAACAGAAGCCCCTCCTCATCCTGGTTCACCACAAAAAGGTCACCCTGTGTCCCCCAGCCTGTGGAAATGCCTTGAGGCTGTGGGAAAACGGGAATCTCCCCTGGAAATGGGGAGTCCTGCTCAGCATGGCATGGCTGGAGTGGGGAAAGGGGGTGGGAGCTGGAATGGGGCAGGGTGCAGCAATGCACTGGGTGGGCGGGAACGCCCAGGAGGAGAAAAAGCGAATTTATTGTGCAGGACAGCGTGCGTGGGCACGAGGAGAACGGGAATTGGCTCACCATGAGTGCATCCCCTCAGGGCCCTGCAGAAACCCAGACCTGCCAGTTCCCCCCCTGCTCACAAACAAGGGCAAGGAGCAAACTGCCTTGGAGGTTTTACTTTGCGAGGTCTTCCTCAGCAGAAAATTGAATGATGTAGCAGCTTGGTGGTCCGGGGTTTGGAGATCTTTGCTCTCCCATGGCCCAGCAATCCATGGCAGGAGGAAAAGTCTCGTTTTTGCCACAGATGTTCCATCCTGGGACCTGTGTCCCTGCCAGGACAGGGGACAGATGGGTGTCACCTGTGATGTGGTGACCTCCTGAAGTCACCTCCTGGGTGGAGGAGGCTCCTGAGAGCCAACTTGGTCACCTGTGACAGGGACAGGAACCCTCAGCAAGGCACAGGTGACAGCCTGGAGGAGTCACAAATTGTCTCACGGCAAGACACACTCCAGTGGGATAATTCCCAGGGAATGGATCAGTGCTCGTTTCAGTGGAGGTGGGGTGGGAGGGATTTCAAGGGTTGTGTTCCTCAAGGTTTGGGTGCAGAACTGGCAGCTGGCTGAAGGATGGAGAGGAGCAGTTCTAATCTCCAGTAGCAAAGGAGTGGTGAAGCCTCCCAGAGTGAGGATAATGGAGATGGAGGTCATGGGACCACCGTAGCTTGAGATTTCAAACGGTTTAGCCACTCCTTTTTTAGGGAGGAGGGAGACACAGGAGTCTCCCGGGGCTCATTCTCCACCGTCTCCTCAGTGCTGGGCTCCCCGTGTGGGTGCCTGCACCCCCCTGCCTCCCCCACACTGCTGTGTGATCCGTCCTGCCCTCACCGAGCCCTCACTTCCACCCTTCTTCCCTCCCATCGCCAGGGCTCAGTGCCCTAAAAATCAAGGAAAGGAGGGTGCCAGGGGAGCTCGGGGCTGGCACGCGTGCGGGTGAGGTTATTCACCCCGGCAGCTTCCCCGAGCAGCGCTCCTGCTGCAGCCTCCGGCATCTCCCCGAGCTCCTCTCTCTGCACCTTCCTCCGCCGAAACAGCTCCGGAGATTTTTTTTTTCTTTTCTTTTTTTTTTTTTTTTTTTTTTTTTTTTTTTTTCCCTGGGATCGGGACAGGCGGGTGCTCTTGTGGCAGAGAGCGGCAGAAGCAGCTGGCTCCTTCCCGGGGAAGGCAGGCAGGGAACCGGGGCCCCGGGGGCCGGAGGATGCTCGCCGCGGTCCCCAGCCGCGGGGATGCGGGGTTGCTAGGAGGCAGGTGAAGGTGAAGGTGAAGGTAAAGGTGAAGGTGAAGGTGAAGGTGAAGGTGAAGAGCAGAGCGCTGCGGAGGACCGCAGGCCCAGGTACCGCCGCAGCGGAGCCGGGGGACAGGGGGGGGGGGGGAATCTTCTCCGTGCCGGGAAGTGGGAAAGCGGGAGCTGAGCTCTCGGGAAAGGAGTCGGGCCGGAGGGAGCCGGCTCGGTTCTGCGGGAGGACGATGCGGGAGCAGCCGGCGGCTCGGCCCTCCGCCAGCCCGGCTGCCGCTGCTCCCTCCCTCCCTCCCTGCCTGCCGGTGCCGGTACCGGTGCCGGTGTCGGTGTCGGTGTCGCTGCGGGGCCTCGGCCGTGAGTAGCGAGGGCTGCGGAGGAGCGGCGCGGAGCTGGAGGATGCTCAGCCATCCTCCGGCAAGGGCGAGCCGGGGGATGCCGCCCTCCGCAGAGCCCCGAGCAGGCCGGGCCGGCGGTGCCCTTGGGAAGCGGCCGGGAAGGGACGGGGCAGAGCCGCAGCCCGGGGCCGGCGGGCCTGCGGGGACGCTGCCGCCAGCGCTGCCCTTGCGATGCCTCTTGCGGGGCCGTGCGGGGCAGCAGTGTCCTTGGGAGACCGCCAGGAGCCACCTCCGGCCGCCGCTGGGCTCCGCACCGCGCCGCATCCTGCGGGGATCGAGCTGAACCCCGGGCATCACCCCCGGCTGGGAGCTGCTCCTTGCCCCGCACCGGGAAGGGGAGGATGGGCACAGGGTGGGGGTGAGCGCCGGGCCCTGACCTTCTGCCTTCCCCCTTCTCCTAGATCCGCATGTCAGACCATCACCACCCCAGCGATGGGGAGTCAGACCCCCAGCACGGCATTACTGTGGTCTTCCTCCTCGTCCTTGTCTTCTTCATCATGGGGCTGGTGGGGTTCCTGATCTGCCACGTCCTGAAGAAGAAGGGTTACCGGTGCCGGACCTTCCGGGACGAGCTTGACCCAGATGACAAAGACGAGGTGGAGGAGCTGCAGGATGGTGAGTGCTGGGGGATGGGGGGGCTCGGTTTTGTGCCTGGTGTGGGCTGGTGCTCCTCATCCACCCTTCTGGGATGTGGGATGAGGCTGGGAGGGTTACCTGTCACGTGTGGCTGGGTTGGGAAAAAGAGCTGGGGAGGTGAGAGCAGCGTGGTGTTCCCTGGGGATGGGAGTGTGGAGGGCCAGGGATCCCTCTGATCCACGATCAGAGGTGACAGGGAGGTGGGAAGCAGTGCCTGGCCCTTCCCAAAGGAGCGATATGACCAAAAGGTAATTCTGATGAACATCCAGGACTTGCTGAATCCCCAGCACCTCAATCACAATCCCTGTTCCCTGAAGGAAAACCTCTCCCAGCTGGAGCATGAGCTGTCTCTCTGCCCCTTGGGCATTAGGATTTCTGGCAGGGAGCCAGCTGATGTTGGCTATTGGTCATATCTTCTTCCAGTCCCTGCTGTGTTCATGCAGACCAGAGACACAGGGGTGTTGCTAGAAGGGGAAGGGACTTGCGGGAATTTTTTCCATCACTCTGGGGTGGTTGGATTGAGAAGTTGCTGCTGCATCGAGCGTGGGTGCCTGGCCCAAGCGAGCTCTGTCATTCCGTGGTTTCCTGAGACTCTGCTCAAGTGGGGAACAACATTCCCAGGCTGAGAACAGCCACATGGTGCTCCAGAACTCCTCCAGCTCCCATGTGCAGTGCTGGGGAGGATCAGCAGCTCCTGCTCGTTGCCTGTGCTCGGGAGGGAAATGCAGTTCCTTCAGCTCAGCCGTGGATGCAGCCAGAGCTTCCAGGTGTCCATGGATGTGCTCCTCTGGCTTCAGTGTCTCGGCTTTACACGGCATGGAGACTGTGCTGGAACCTTCCAGGATGGGCTTTGCCCTCTGGAGACATCACAGCCCAGGGAAACATCTCCACGGGCTTCCAAGATCATGGCAGCAGCCCTGGAGTCTTTGAGGCAGCTCCAGCCTGCTTCCAGGAACATCTGCCACTGCTGACCAGCCTGGAGATCCATCCATCCATCCATCCATCCATCCATCCATCCATCCATCCATCCATCCACACCTCCTGCCTCCAACAGCAGCTGGAAGAGGTTGAGGTGAACTCTGTGGATGAATTCCACAGCAGATCAGGCACCAGCCAAGATTCCTCAGAGCAGTCTTTAAGCTTTTCTTAGTGGGCAGCTCTGGGGCTCTCCCTGTCATTGTGTGTTCCCCGTTTCTGTGTTTAGTGAGTTCCAGAGAGTTTATTTTCTGTGGATTTGCCCTCTTTACCCTTGGAGCCTTGAGCACTTGCAGCATCCTGCAGCCAGGGCTGGATAAGGACCCTCCTCTTTTGACTTTTTGGAACTTTTTCTCCAGGTGCTCCCCTGTTCTGAAGGAGCACCACCACCCCCTCTCCCTGCACACTCAGCTGCTGGCTCAGCCCTTTGCTTTCCAGCATGAGGGATCTGCTGTTCCCCGGTGGCTCCCCAGTGTGACAGGGGACACGAGGCTCCTCCAACACCTGCAGCCCCTCCTGGGAAGGGATGAGCGAGCAGAGTCCCCAAATCCCAGCCCTCAGTGCCACATTGTCTCTTTTCAGACGAAGAGGATGAGAAGAACGATGACACCGTGGAGAAGATCGTGAGGTGCATCATCCAAAACCAAGGTGAGCGTTTCCATGGGCCAGCCCAGAGCCGTGCTGACCACCCTGGCTGACCCATTCCTGTTTTTCCTTCTCTCTTCAGCAAATGTGGAGGCCCTCAAGGAGATGTTGGGGGAAAATGAAGGGGATGTGCCAGTGCCAGTGCCCGTGCCCAGGTGAGGGATGCTCATAGCAGCTTGTGGCTGCTGCAGGGGGAGGGACAAGCAGCCCCTTTCCAGCATCTTCCCAATGGGGAGTTCTGCTCTGCTGAGGGTTTTGAGGAGTGCTTTGAGCTTTTCCTCCCCAGCAGAGGTCCCCCCCAGAGCCGGGGCTTGCTGCAGTGGGGCTGCACCGGGGTTGGGACATCCCCCCGAGGTGACACAGCCTGTCATGCGCTTCTGTTGCAGCATTTGTCCCCACAGCAGCAGCCAGGACGGGGGTCCCCCTCACCACCACACGGTGCACCTGGGCTCCACGCAGGCCCCCTGCATCCACTGCAGCAGGAGGAAGAGGCACCCACTGCAGCGCCAGGGGAGGTCCAAGGAGGGCAAAAGCAGGATGCTTCCTGGAGAAACCACTGTCTTCTCAGTGGGCAGGTACCCCAGTGAGCTTTGCCAGACATTTCCCTGCTGGAATGAGCACCACGGGCTCTCCTCTGTCCTCCCGTTCCTTCCCCCTTCTCTGCTTGCCCACGGTTCCCTCTTGCTGCTGTGCATTGAGCAGCAGCTCTGCAGCTGGAGCTCCTGAGGAGCCAGGTGGTTCCTGCACCTGGAAATGCCTGTGGTATGTGGCAGGCTGTGATGCACCGGTGGCTTCCCTCCTTCCCTGGGAAGGTGACTCAAGCTGGGTTTTCCTGCTGAGTCAGTGCTGGGCACAGCCTCAGCTCCGTGTCCTTTCAGAGCTCGCTGTCCCAGCTCGGTGCAAGCTGGGTCCTTGCTGCCCAACTGGGGGCTTTTAGGACCTCATTGGGGGGGGGGGACAGAGGGGACAGCATGTCCCAGGTGCAAGCCAGCACCTCCTCAGAATGAAAGAGTGGCTGTGCTGCTCCAGGTTGCCGCTTCACACCGTGTCTGTAATTAGATGACAGCAATGTAAGAGTAGGGGAGTGTTCCTGATACTTCCCAGTCCCCACCTGGTTTCACCTCAGGGGACTTCCCGAGCTTCCTGTGGTCTCGGTGTAGTCACTAACCTGTAGAACAGTCTGTGGGCTCGCCCAGGCTGCCCCATTGCTCAGCAGAAAGGGTTGGCAAAGTCCTGCTGGGCTTGGCTCCCTCCTGGCTGCGGTGACTGGGGCAACTGCTGGTCCCTGCATGGCTACTGTGGTGAGACACAGAGCTCTGTCATGCTCAGGTTGTGCACAAGGTCTTGGTTCAGGGCCTGAGCCTTGAGGAAATTCCATGTTGTGGTCCAGAGATGCAGTCCTTTCATGGGAATACTGAGCCAGAGTGGGCAGGGAATCATGGAATGGTTTGGGTTGGAAGGACCTCAAAGTTCATCTCATTCCACCCCTGCCATGGGCAGGGACACCTCCCACCATCCCAGGCTGCTCCAACCTGGCCTTGGGCACTGCCAGGGATCCAGGGGCAGCCACAGCTGCTCTGGGCACCCTGTGCCAGGGCCTCAGTGCCCTCCCAGGGAACAATTCCTTCCCAACATCCCATCCATCCCTGCCCTCTGGCAGTGAGAAGCCATTCCCTGTGTCCTGTCCTGTGGATTTTTCCACCACCACGGGCAGGAGCCTCAGCAGGGAGGTGAGCTGGGGCTTTCAGGGGGGAGCTGGAGAAGCAGAGAGACCTGCTGGACCTCCCCAGGCTGAATTTCAGCTGAGATCACATCTTGTGGCCACTGCCAGCTCCTGGCTCCCCCCGTGCCCGGTGCTGCCCTTGGAGGGGGTGCCCAGCAAAGCCAGGGCTCTGCACAGTTGTGTGCTCACCACTAATTCATTCCCTGGCTGGTGCCCAGCTCCATCCACTCCTCCCTGTCCTTTGTCCGTGCTCTTCCCAGTCTCCTCTCAGCACTCAGAGTGCTGGACAGGATGCTCTCCTTTCCCAAAGGCACCTTCCCTCAATTCCTGTTTTTTTTTTTCTCTTTAACCCTCTTAATATCCCAGCCTTCTCCACAGGGCAGCCATCCCATTTCTCCAAGGCTTGATTTTCAATCCTGAGTCTCTTTGGTACCAGGTCCAGCTGCTGAAGGACCTATGTGGCCATGAGGTACAATCCCCCCACCTCCAAATTCTGCTTTTTATCTCCAAGCTGGCCCCTTTTCTCCTCCAGATCCTGGAGGACTTTTCCAAGATTGCATTTCCTGTGTCTTGTTTATGACAAATATCTCAAAGTACTTTGACTCAGCACTGACCCTACAAGACAGAGCTTCTTTAACTCACCTCTGGAGTTAAAGACACACCCTCAGGTCTTGTTCTCTTTTATTTTTGGTGTTATTTTTGCCTTGGATGCAGTGTTTGAGCCCCCTCCTACATGGAATGAGCCCTGGTCCTGGTAGGCACAGGTTCATCCCTGAGAAGTGGAAAGGATGGGAGGTGTGGAGGTCCACAAGATCCAGGGTGAAGCACGGGGCATCTGAGGAAGTTTTTAAACCTGGAAAATTAGAAAAGGATGATCTAATTGTTCTCTAACACTTCCCAAAGGGTGGGTGGAGTTTAAATGAAGCTGGAACAAGACTCTCATCAGAGATGCACTGGGAAGGGCAAGAGGCAATGGCCAAGAGTCACACAAGAGAAATCCAGAAAAGATGCAAGGAAAAACTGTTCTGCCATGAGAATGGTGCAGCATTCAACAGGGCCCTGAAGAGTGGGGAAATCTCCAGCCCTGAAGATTTCCAAAACCTGACTGGACAAGGCTCTGGGCAAAGTGTTTGAGGGTGGGAGGTGGCACAGATATGAGCAGGGGTCTGGACTGGAGACCTCCTGAGGGAATTTTGCACTTAAATTGTTCTAAACTTGAGGGTTATGTATGGTATAGGATGATTTACCACAGCTCAGTGCTTTCCCTCAACCACTCATAGTCAGTGGCAGAGTTTGTCCATAAAACATCTCTGTCCATCAGCCAGGGTGTGTCACATCCCACTGAATCCAAAGCCTTGGGGATGCTGCTGAGGCAGCCAGGGCTCCTCTGCCAGAGTTTCCCTCTCCAGCCAGAATTTGGCTGCGTTACCTCTTGTGCCCTCTCCAGTCCAAACCCTTCCTGCTCTCTGAAGCCACTCCTGACCCTTCCATGACATTGCTCAATGGCATTACCAGGAAATGTTCCTGTCACTTGTGTCTCCTTGCCGTCCCTCTTCAGGACCAGAACATTCTTTGGTCTCCCCAAATCGCAGTGCTGGTGTCTTATCTCCAAATATCTGGACAGACCTGAAAGGTCACATTTGCTGCTGCTTGGCCTGACCTGAGCAGTCCCTGTGGGAACCTTCTCTGGAGCTGGAGCATTTCTCATCTCGACCTTCCCAATCCTGAGCAGCTTTCTGGCCCTGCTGAGGGGTCAGTGCTGTCCACAGGCTGGGCTCCTTCACCTCTGCCAACTCACCTGGCATCTCTTTTATCTTCTGGACCTCTCTGCTTTTTCCTTTGGAGCAGCAGTGCTGCCACGTGCTTGACCTTTGGGTCTTGCTCTTCTTCCCACATCCCACACCAGCAGTACTTGAACTTTCTGAAATTGTGCTTTGCCCCGACCCTGACTTGCAGCTGAGCCTCAGCAGAGCCAGGCCTTTGGCTTTTCCATGTGCAGTCCATGTGGGTGAGCCATGGGGTGAGCCACCAGGTCTCAGTGGTGGCACTGGAGTGCTCTGGCTGGGGGACACCAGCTCACCATGGAGGAGATTTCCTGTCTGCTGGTCCAGCTGGTGAGGAGGAGTCACAGTGTGTCACCACCAGCACAATCACAATTCAGATTTCAGGCTTTGCTGACACCTCACCCCTCCCAGGCTGAGGGAACTGGGAGAGGAGAGAGCTCCAAGGAAACTTTAGAGCCCCTTCCAGTGCCTAGAGGGGTTCCAAGAGGGACAAGGGCACAGAGTGACAGGACAAGGGGAATGGCTCCCTGCTGTCACCAGGCAGGGTTAGAAGGGATATTGGAAAGAAATTGGTGGGCAGGGCTGGCACAGGGTGCCCAGAGCAGCTGTGGCTGCCCCTGGATCCCTGGAAGTGTCCAAGGCCAGGCTGGATGGGGCTTGGAGCAACCTGGGTGAGGGGAACTTGTCCCTGGGGGTGGGACTGGATGATCCTTTAGGATCTCCTTCCAACCCAAGCCATTCCATGAGTCTGTGATCCCTCTTCTCCCCACGTGCAATGTTGCACCACCCCTGATTATGAACCCACCTTTGAGGGTGTCAGAGCCATTCCTGCAGCTCTTGTGCCCACCCAGGAGCTCTGAGCTGTTACCTGCTCGTGGTGGAACCTTGGTGAACCCCTCAGGTACCATCCACCCCTCCAGGGGATGGTGTAATACTTAGTCTGGCAGATTTTAGCCAAACAAATCCTTCAGCCTTTGATCCCTGTATCCAAATCACTGCCAAAATCTTGTCCCTGCCCTCACTGAGGGCATGCTGTCATCCAGGTTGTCTCTGAGCATTTCCAAGAGCTGCAGTCCATCTTGCTGCTGGGAAGACAAGACCTGGATTGAGCTTTCCACCAAGACTTCCAGAGAAGTCTTTCTGTTTGTTTTGCTCAAAAATGAAGGGAAGATGAGTTTGGGGGCATGGCTTGAACGGGTCTGAAAAGTTGGGAGAGGGGCTGGAGGTACAGGGAATACATCTGGGGGGGAAAAGACCTCAGTGTCCTGTCCCCATTGCAGGTTCCGTGTCACACACATCGGGAAGAAACCTCCCGTGCAGGAGCAGCAGGACGGAGCTCTGCCCTCCGGCAGCCGGCAGGCGAGCACGGAGGAGCTGGAGCGCAGCAGCGAGAGGCTCCAGCGGGAACGGGCTCTCAACGGGACTGTCCCCACGGGTGGTGGCCTGCACAACGGAGCCATCCCCACGGCCACCCTGAGTGGCAGAAGCGCCGAGCAAAGCCTGTCCGCCAGCCCAGCCACCAACACAGCGGCCAGCTCCGGCACCCGTGACAGCCGGAGGGCGGGCGGGGGGTCCGGTCCGGTGGGACCCGGCCCAGCGGGGTCCCTGCAGGATGCTGGCTCTGCTCTCGGTCCAGCGGGGTCCTTGCAGGATGCTGGCTCTGCTCCCGGCAGCTCGGGTCGCCAAAGGAGGCTCATGAGCATGCCAGCGCTGGGAGCGTCGAGTCCCGACATCCCAGGAGAGCTGGCGAGGGAAGGAGCCGGCATCTGCCTGGAGGAGATGGGACTGGAGTCGGCAGATGAAGTGTCGGATATTCACGGGAGCCTGAGTCTGCAGGAACAGGCTGAGGAGTTGGGGAGAGACGACAGCAGCAGGAAACAGCCCGGAGGGGAGGACGGGAGGCAGCAGGTATGTCCCTCCTCTTCCTCGTCCCCATGGGGTCCCCTGGGCTGGATTTCCCACCCATTTTCCGGTGTCTGAGGCAGTGGAGTGACTGTGACAGGTCCCACCCTGCTGGTTCCTCCTTTTCCTTTGTGGTTGAGCTCTCTGGGAGCAACCATTGGGATTTTGACCTGGAGAGCTCCAGTGCTGCACGTGGTGTCCCCCAAAACCTCGCCTCGATGGGGCTCAATGTGGCCAGTAAGGAACAGGCAGGGACAGATTTCTCCAGGAGCTTTTCTTACCCTGAAGGCCAGGAAATGGTGAAGCCAAATAGTTATTTCTTGGCTGTTTTTTCCCTGCTCCTGAGGAGCTCCTAGCACCCAAATATCTCCCAATATCCCACCCAACCACCTTGCTGGAGAGGTTAGAAAGCTCCAGGGGTTTTGTCCCTGGAATTGCCTCTGTGCTGTTACCTGAGAGCAAATGAGGCTGCTGGTGGTGGTTCAGACACCCAGCATTTCACTCACAGACTCACACACTCATTCGTGGTTCTGCAGCTGGGAAAAGGTGATTTTCATGGAAGGGGTAATGTAATGTCAACAGCCCGAAGAGCTGGCCTTGACTTGCCTCACAAAACCAGCACCGGGCACACTCTGAAGAAAAAGGAAACCAAGTGCCTGGGTAGAATTCCTGGCATGCTTCAAAGCCATGGAGATCCCCTGGGGCTGGTTGAGCAGGAGCTCCACGGGCTGGGCATGGCCCAGGCACATGCCAGGAGCCCTTGGCAGGGGGTGGGATGGGGAAGGGCTGGGTCAGCATGAGAGAGGCCTGGGAAAGGTGCCTGGCTGGATGCTGGATAAGGACAAAGCAGGATCCCACAGTTTCCCTCTTTGGTGACCAGGCTGGAAGGTTTGAGCTGCTCCATGGAGAAGGCAGGATAGAACTGATGAGCTCTTCCCCAGAGACCTGGGGAGGTGGTGACAGGTCCTGCTGTGTCCCACTGAACCTTGGGTGATCCCTCTGCTCCCTGGGGAAGCAGTGACGTGCAGGGAAAGCCCAGGTGATGTCTGTCCCCTGTGCAGTGCCAGGCTCTTGCCCTGGATGCTGCACGTGGTGCTGGGGTGCTCCAGGACACGGGGTCCCAGGAGAACGGTGATGGGATGTTTGTCACCAAGCCCTGGTGCCGCTGGAGGCGTCCCCCATGCCCTCAGTCACAGCCAGAGCCAGCACGAGGGGTGTTGGCCGCTGCTCATCACGTCCTGCAGGTGATGGGGAGGGCAGAGGTGGTGCCTGGGCTGCAGTCGCTCCTGGACACTCAGGGGGGTTCTCCCCTCCGTGGCCAAGGGGGACCCCCAGCCCAGCACCCGCTCCCATGGGAGCGCTGACATCCCTCCTCCATCCCACAGGAGCCCAGCGCCGCGGAGCAGGACCGTGTGTGACGTGAGTGCTTGTCCCCTGCCCCTGGGACAATGTCTGGGATGGGAGGGCACCGTCAGTGTCCCCGCCTGGTGGCTCTCAGAGATGGAGAGAGGATGAACCCTTTCTCCAGGGGGTTGGGAATGCCCATCCACAGGCACGGTGACACCGGGAAATGCCACCTGTGGGTGCTGGGGAAGTGCCACGGCTGTGGTGACAACACAATACCCTGCCTCTCTCCCCGCAGCTCCTCTCCGCTCCCGGCTGGAGCGTGGACGGGAGGCGCGCAGCCCCCGCACCCCTCGGGGCTGGGGGGGCTCTGCCGTGGGGAGCCGTGCCCGGTCCCGGGTGGGCAGCTACGCGCTTGGCATGGCCGGAGCGACGCGCCCGCGGCACCGACAGCCGCGCTCGGCGCCAGCCTTCATCCCATTGGCAATAGGTACCCGAGTCCCACCCAGCGCACCCTCCCCGAGGTCACCGGACACTCCCCCGAGGGACCCTCGGGCCTGGCAGGGGCAGGACAGCACCCAGAGCCCGCTGCCCCCGCGCCCCCCCAGCTCCGGGGCGAGGATGTGAGGGGGCCGTGGCGAGGGGCAAGGATGGAGGCAGCGGCTTGAGTTCCCCCTCCCCACCCCGGGGGCGGTGGGGAGCACCCCCAGACCCACCCGGCACGTTCAGCACAGAGCACAGCCCCCCCTTCCCAGCCGGGCACCCCTGCCACGCAGAGTGGGCACAGGCACAAATCCTGCACCGGCAGGTCCCCGGGAGATGCTGGAGGAGAAAGGAGCTCCCAGCCCCATCCCACAGGCACAGGAGGGGCCGCAGCCCGGCCCTGGGGGCGGGATGGCCCCCGGCCAGGCCAGCCCCGGGAGCTGCGGTGTGTAACGCCCTGTACATAGACGAGCTACAACCATTAAAGCTGCTGAACCCCTCGCCAGGGCCAGCGGGATTTATTGGGAACAGCCTCCCCATGCCCACTCCTGCCTGTGGGGGCTGCTGGGGTGCAGAGATGAACCAGGAACCACGGTTGTGCTGGGAGTGCACGGGCAATGCCAGGCAGGAAGGGCAGAGGCAGGAGGGGGTGAGATGGGGCCTGGCTGTGGCACTGGGAACCCCAAAAAAATGGTTCTGGGTGCTGTACTGGGATGCAGGACCACTCTGCAAGCAGCACCGGGCAGGATGCAGCCCCTGGAAAGACCAGCTCGGGATACAGGGCAGCACCAGCCCCTGCTGCTGGGACAGCAGGGTGTGATGGTTTGCTTGGGCACAGCTTTTTGGGGGTTCTGGGGCTGGGGGGTCAGCTGAAGTGAAGCTCGGGGTCGGGCTCGGGGGCTCTGCCGGGCGGCGGGGGCGGCGCACGGAGCTGCAGAGAGGGAGAGGAGAGGGAAAGGGAGAGGAGTGATGCCAACACACTGAGGCCACTCATCCCCCTTCAGACCCCCCAAAACACACGGGTGGCTCCATTACAGAAGGGCTGGGGCAGGTTTTGGGGTCACAGCATCCCAAAACGAAGGGACTTACCGGCCGTAAGCGCGTGGCTGCCAGGTCTGGAGAGCTCTGCCCGCTGCTCGTGCCATCCTGCCGGCAACCTGGGAGGGCCCAGCAGCTCAGCCTGGCTTTTGGGGCTCCCCCAGCCCCTCCCCAGCTTCCCCAGACTCACCTCCCAGCGCTGTCTCAGGAGCAGGGCTGGGGACCAGGCTGGCCCCGGGTGCGAGGCCGGGAGGGGAGAAGGGCGGAGGGGACGGTGATGGCAGCTCCTGGGAAGACACAGCCAAGAGGGATGGGGATGGTGGGAAGGGGGAATGGTGGGTGGGGAGCTGCCCACGGCAGGGTGACACAAGGACCCTCCTGCCACCAACCTGCCCGGCTGCCTCGCGGCCCCCGGTGAGCTCCTCCACCACCAGGGAGGGGAAGACGCCGACGCGGCCATCGAAGTCTCCGGTCCAGAAGCCATCGTCCACCTCGCCAGCGGCACGGGGCAGCACCCGGATGATGGCACCCTCAGGGAAACTCAGCTCCTCGGGGCTCTGCCCCTCGTAGTCGTACAGGGCTCGCACCAGCCAGGCTGTGGGGAGGGTGGGGAGGGGGCTCAGCACCCTCAGGATCCCGTCCCCCCTCCGTGGGGTGGGGGTGATGCCCAGCACTCACCTCCAGGCTCCAGCACCAGTTCTGCAGCCATGATGCTGGAGAGCTGGCGGTGCAAGGCAGAGGGTCCTGGGGGGCCGAGCCCAGCCCCCGAGTCACACCCCAGGGACAGCAGGTACTTCTCAGGGACATAGCCGACCTGCCCTGCCTTGTTCCGAGCCTGAGGAGGCAGAAACCACGTGAACATCCCAGGCTCCAGAGTGGGGACCTCCAAAAGGTGTCCCCCAGTATGGGGGGGGGGGGTCTCAGCCTGCTCCCACCTTCACCCATTCCTCTGCGTCCCCATCCTCGATGATCTCCAGCTCCTCGCCTTGGCTGATGGACAGCTCATCTGCCTGGCAGCCCTGCAGGAGATGGGGACAAAGTGGCAGAGGGGCTGAGGTGCCACCCCTGGGCATGCAGGGTGAGGACCAAGCAGGCAGGGCCATACCTGGTAGCCAAAGATCACCCGGCAGGTGTAGGGGTAGGTGCGAGCAGCAGGCCCAGGCTCGTTGTCCTCATCTGGCTCGTCACTGTCCTCGTAGTCATCAAACTCAGATGGGTCCAGCCCCGTGGGGGTCTCCTCACCTGTCCCCACCATGGCTCCAGCCAGCCAGGTGTCCACATCCAGCCCTGCCGCCCGCAGCAGTGCCAGCCGTGCCTCCGCCTTCACTCGGCTCACCTGGGGACACCACACATCGTCACAGCGCCCAGGATACCTCTGGTGGCATCCCCAGCACCACACCCTCAGTGCAGCATCCCCTCCCTGTCCCTACACCCCCCACCCTGGGGGTGACAGACCTGGAAACCACCCCAAGCTCCCTGGCTGGGGCTCCCACCTCTGCTTTCCGGATGTTTTCCCTCGCTTCTTCCATCTGCCGCTCCACGGCCGCCGCTTCCGCCTCCAGCCCCTGCTGCCTCCTGGCCTCCAGCCGCTGCAGCACCTGGGTGGGCACCCACAGCTCAGAGGGGGCTGGAAAAGCCCCTCCCTGAGCCCTCTGGTGCTCCATGGGGCAGGACAACCCTCACCTCCTCACTGTGTGCCCTGTTCTTGTGGTCCCGGGCCACCCGTGTGGCCCAGCGCCGTGCCTCCTTCTCCAGGCTGGCCCCGTCGTCTGCTGGTGGCAGCAGGCACACCTGGGCAAGGACACGGGGTGACAAGGGGGTGGCTGGGAAGATCCTACCTTGCTGTATGACCCCCTTCACTCACCTCCTCCACCCCGGCGAGCTGGAAGCGCTGCTTGGGCGCCAAGGAGAAGGCGGGGTGGTCCTGCAGGAAGAGGAGGAGGTCCTGCTCCCAGCACACCTGCAGCAGGGGAGCAGCGTGGGGCTGGGGGCTCACCTGTGCCCTCCTGTCCCACCCAGCTCGTGGGATGGTGCTGTTACCCGTGCAGATGCCTCCACAACACCCTGGAACCAGTCCCGGGTGGCCCGGCAGGTCTCCACCTCCGTCCGGCTGGTGACCGACAAATGCTCCCGGAGGCGCTCGTAGAGGTCCCCGTCCAGTGCCTGGGGAAAAGCGCGTGGGAACCCCCCCAGCACTGCCACATCCCCCCACTGCAGCATCCCTGACCCCCCCAGGGCAGCCAGCCCTGACCTTGGGGATGGGTCTGGGCATCTCCTACCTGCATGGCCGCGGGCAGCTCCACACGCTGGTAATGCTCCAGGTGGGCAGAGGCAGACACCAGGGCGAAGCTGTACTCGTTCTGCACCCCTGCCAGCTGCCTTGAGTGCTCAGCCAGTCGTGCTGAGAACTGTGGGGACGTGGACAGTGAGGTTTGGTGATGGTGCCCTGCATCCACCCACTTGGGTACCCTGCCAACCCTCGCACTGACCTTGGCACTGAGCTTTTGCAGACTGGCCTTGGTGTGAAATATCCGCCGGTCGCTCTTGCGGAGGCTGGGGAGGATGGGAGGGGGGTGTGAGACCGCCCTGCAGCCACAGCACGCCCTGGCTCCGTGTCCCCCACTCACCGTGCCTCCACATCGGCCGCCTTGTCCTTGGCCACCTCGCTGCTGCGCTGGAGGTGGCTGAACTGCTTCTTGGCCTTGTCCAGCTCCTTCACCGTCTCCAGCAGCTCCGCCTGCGCCTTCTGCAGCCTCTCGATGCCCTGTGGGGAGCGTCAGCTGCGGGGGGACAGCTGTCCCCACTGCCCGGGCACAGGGGACATGTCCTTGTCCCGGTACCTTCTTGAGTGTCCTCTCCTTGGCGAGGCGGGCGCTGCGGGCGGCCTCGGCGGCCAGGGCTCGGTAACTCTCGGAGGAGGTGACACGGAGCTGCCCGGCGTGTGCTGTCCCCTCGATGACACCTCTCCAGACAGCAGCCACGCTCCTGTGGGCACAGGGATAACACAGGGCGGGGCACTCCCTGCCCCTCGACAGATTTTGGGGATGCCCAGCAGGACCGCCAGTGCCCCCAGTCCCAGCAGGGCGCTGGGGTTTGGGACACCCCTAAATCCTGGTTGGCATTAAGCATCTCTCCAAGTTGGGAGGGCCGTGGGTGGGAATAGCCAGCCCCAGCTGCTTGTCCCCAGCCCTGTCCCTGTCCCCAGCCCACCTGGAGTCGCCGGCCTCGCCACGGCCCCGCTGCCAGTCTCTCTTCACGAACTGGCTCGCCAGCCTCTGCAGCGCCTGGGGACAGACCTGGCATCACTCCCCGACGCTGCTGAGCACCCCAGCATCCACCACACCCCCAAATTTGGGCTCTCCCGGCCCAGCTGCCCACCCCACGGACCTGGGGACACACGTGTGTCCCCCCAGAGCACAGACACACACATCCCCGTGGCTCAGTGTCAGCAGGAATCCCATTGTGCTCCCCGTAAGAAAATAATTTTGAGGGGCAGTCACCACAATGAAAGGACCCCTCTGCTGCGACTTTAGGGACAGAGCACCTGCAAGGGGACATCAGCGAGGGACACTGGCTGTAGAGAAGAGTAAGGAGCCCCAGCAAAACCAAGCACAGCAAGACCCCAACCCTGGGGGGATGGTGACCCTCAGCCTGGGGGGTATGAGGGAGGGGACACAGTGACCAGCTGCAGGAAAGGGGGACACAATTCTGCTGCAGTACATCCCCAAGAGACGCTGCAGGGCCATCTCACATCAAAACCAAACTCTGACATTTCAAAGCAGTGTCCTGCGATGACCCAGCAGACAGCAGAGCCCAGCGGTTTCCTCCTCCCACAAGGTTTTCCCTCCAGGCTCTCAAAACACCCAAGGTTTGAGCCATGCTGTGCTCAGCAGAGCCCCCAGCGGGTGCTGAACGTGTCAGGGTCCTCCTGGCACGATGAACCATCTGCCACCACCCTCCGGGACCAACACATGCACATCCAGCACATCTGAGCAGCCACGCTCAGATAATTTCAGCGGCTGCCCATTGCCTGCATGGGGCCGTGCCCAGTTCCTGCCCAGGACATCGATCCTGAATCCCGTGGCATCTCCTTACCTGCCCGTACTCCCTGTCAATGGTGGCCCTCTGCTTGCTGTAGGACCTGGGAGAGAGGGGACAGAGAGGGCACACAGAGAGGGGCAGGGAAGGGACATCCCAGCCATCACCCCCTGCCACCACCCCCCTGCCACTATCCTGTCCCCATCAGGCCACCCCAGTGGGTGATGGAGCTCATGACCTCGAGGTGACAGGCTCAAGGTGAGCCATGCCCGGTCCCTGGACAGTGCAATGAGCTGCCTGGTCTCAGCTTGGGGACACACACACACACACACACACACACGGGATGAGCTATTTCATCTCAGCCTGGGGACACACACATGGGATGAGGTGCCCGGTCTCAGCTTGAGGACAAACACACACATACATGGGATGAGCTGTCTCATCTCATCTTGGGGACACACACATACATGGGATGAGCTGCCTGGTCTCACCTTGGGGACACACACATATAGGATGAGCTGCCCTGTCTCAGCTTGACCCGGCTGTCACACGTGTGGGCCCTACCTGATGTCCTCCAGCAGCTCGGCATCCCTCTGCTGTTTGCTCTGCAGGCCCGACAGCTGCTCCAGGAGATGGACCCGCAGCTCCTGGGTGAGCTTCACCTGCGGGATGGTCCCGCTCAGCCCCGCGGCCCCGGCGGGGATGGATGCGGGAATGAATGCGGGGATGCGGTGCCCCCCATGCCCGGGTCCCCCACTCCTGAGCGCGGCCTCGCTTCCCCAGCCCCGTGAGGCTCCGCCGGGGGCGAGTCTCGGTCACGGCTGCAGGAGGGAGGACCCGGTGCCGGTGACCCGCCCCGTGGCCCGGCCTGGCCCGGCGCGGCCCCGCGCTCACCTTGCGCGGTGGCGGCTGCATCGCTGCGCTGCCCCGGTGCCGGTTCCGATCCCAATCCCGGTGCCGGTTCCACGATCGCCGCCGCCCCGATCCGCGTGTGCGGAGCCCGGAACTGCCGGGCCGGGCTCGCCCCGCCCCCACAGGCCCCGCCCCGTTGAGAAGACCACGCCCCCACGCGAGCCCTGCCCCGATTAGGCCCCGCCCACAACGCAACACATGGACACGCCCCAGACAACGCCCCCAATGACACACCATATAACCCCGCCCCTTTGCTGACGTCTGCGGAGAGGCCACGCCCAGCGCGCCCAGCAAGCCCCGCCCCTCGGGGCTGCAGCGCCGCCTGGTGGTCGGTGCTGCACGTGTGAGCGGGGCGATGGGACAAGGGGACAGAGGGACACGGGGACAGGGGATAGGGGGGATACGGGGGACACGGGGACACGGGGACAGGGAGACAGAAGGACGGGCAGACAGGGATCAAAGGGACAAGGGGGACAGGGGGACACGAGGACGGGGGATAGGGGGACAGGGAGACAGACAGGGAGACAGGGTCATGGGGACAGGGGGACACGGGGACAGGGAGACAGGGGGACAGGGAGACAGGGGATAGGGACACGGGGAGACAGGGATATGAGAGGGAAGGACATGGGGACATGAGGATGTGGGAAGACAGGGATATGTGACATAGGGACATGGGGATGTGAAGATGGGGAGACAGGGATGTGAGACACAGGGATATGAGAGGCAGGGACACGGGGACATGGGGACATGGGACACAGGGACATGGGGACATGTGGACACAAGGAGACAGGAGGACAAGGGCATACATGGGTAAGGCAGGGACACAGGGATATGGGAGACAGGGACATGGGGACACAGTGATGGGACACAGGGACACGAGGACATGAGAAGACAGGAACACGGGGACACAGGGATATGAGAGATGGGAATGTGGGGGCACAGGATCATAGGGACATGGGGAGCACTGTCCTTGGGCAGGGGGACATGGGGACATGGGGAGTGCTGGGCCACACAGCGCTGGGATCACTGAGGACAGAGTCCCCGTGCACGAGGACGCACAGGACACTGGTCCCAGGATGTGGTGACACATGGGGTGCTGGGCCACTGGGGACATGTGGGACACTGAGGGGACAGCCCCCAGCACAGGGACGTGAGGAGTCCCACATCACATGCAGGACACAGAGCCCCTGGCTTGGCAGGACCCTGCCATGGGGACACGGGCACAGAGCTGAGCAGTGGCGTTCAGTGAGGGCCACCCGGAATCATGAGGAGCCCCAAGCAGTCCCTGTCTGTCCCCTCTGTCCCTCTGTCCCCCCCCCAACCCTCTCCCATCCCTTTCATGTCTCACTTCTCTTTCTGTCCATTTTTCTCTGTGTTTCCCGCACAGCTCATGGCTCTCCCAACTGTCCCTATTTCCCCTTTTTCTCTTCCCGTGACCATTCTGGGGTTGGCTGCACATGTCCTGGTGTCCCTGGTGTGTGACAATGCACAAGGCTGGGATGGGGATGTACCACTGGCTCTGTTATTCCCCTTCTTAGCTTGGAAAATCAATGGAGGTCACCCAGCTGCCCACTTTGGTGACAAGAAGGGAACAATGCCGGGTGGCCCCATGACATCAGATTGTCAGTTTGACGCCAGAGATGAATCCTGGAGATCCCTGATCCTGGCAGGGCTGGCCAGGAGGGATACCCAGTGCCCTACAGTGCTGCAGTGGGGCACAGCCACATGTCACCAGGCTGGGAGCCAGCTGCCACCTTCCTGTCCCCCACACGAGGCACAAACATCTCCATCCTGCTGCTGTGCTTCTCCTGTCTGCCTGCAGCTACCTCATGCCCGCTTCCTCCTCCCCTGGCGTGCGGTTGTGTGACAGCAGCTGGAAATCTCTCCCCGTCACTCGTGTGTCCCAGACGCTCGGCGGTGGTGACAACTGGCTGTCACCTCCTCTTTCAGTCCGGCTGTGCACATCACAGGATTGTGGTCAGGATGTTGGCATGACGTGGAGACAAAGGGAGGTTGCCTGCACGGCAAGGGGTTGGTGACAGTCCCGCAGTGTCACGGGCCCTGTGATATTTGTGAGGACCTGGCTGGCACAGCGGTCACTCGGCAGAGATGTCCCGGCTGGTGCTGTCACCTGGTTCTGCTGCTGCCTGTGTCACCCTCTTGCTCACCTGTGCCTGGCTTGGCTCTGCCACCCAGGCCTATTCAGGTAAGTGCCTTGGGGGGGTTTGGGGGTGATGGGGTAGGGCAGGGACACCTCGCTGGGACACCCCAAATCACATCCCATGACATTTGGAGGCAATGGTTGGGTGTCACAGGGAGAGTTTGGGGCCCTGCTCTGCTGCCTCCCCTCAGTGTTCGTGTCGAGAATCTGAGTGAAACCCAGCCAGCATTTCCTCTTTTTGGCAGCAAAATTCAGATTACTGCTCTCATAACCTGAATTTTCCATCTGGATGTGGAGAGGGGGCAGAGGTTGTGGGACACCTGCCAGATGTAACCAAAGCCCCCGGGGTCGGGTGTTCTGGGGACCATCAGGATAGAAATTCTCTCCACAAGCCTAAAATGTGGATTTTTTTTTTTTTTTTTTTTTTTTTTTTTTTTTTTTTTTTTTTTTTTGAGCAAGCCAGAAAAGGGATTTGATCCTGACTTGTTTTTCTCAGGGGCTTTCCTGTTCTTCAATTTTGCTGTTCTCATGCAGAGAAAAATCCCCGATTGCAGGAAGATGAGGAGATGTCTGTGGCTGTGGGGGGGGAGCTGAGCTGGGGACATGGCTGGGGCTATCCCCAACCCTGGGCTGCTGTGGGTTCCCCATCTGGGCTGGGCAGGACAAGGGACATCCATCAGGAGCAGCAGGGAGGTGGGAGCTCAGGGTCTGGGCTCAGAGCTGGGCACCCAGCTGGGCTGGCACCGCTGAGCTGGTGGCTGGCACAGGGAATGGCACAGCTCTGCAGGGTGAGGGCAGCAGGATCACACAATCACCAGCTTGGAGGAGACCTCCAGGATCACCGAGTCCAACCCAACACCTCAGCTGAACCATGGCACCCAGTGCCTCATCCAGACTTTTTTAAACACATCCAGGGATGGGGACTCCACCACCTCCCTGGGTAAACCATTCCAGTACTTTATCACTTTTTCTGTAAAAAAAATTCTTTTCCTGACCTAAATTTGCCCTGGTGCAGCTTAAGACTGGGTCCTCTGGGTCTGTCACTTATTGCCTGGAGAAAGAGACCAACCCCCACCTGGCTACAACCACTTTTCAAGGAGTTGTAGCGTGCTGGGGAGGGAGGGGACAATGAGATGCCACATCCTGTGTTTTTTCAGTGGTGGCTCTGCAGGGGAAGGTGACAGCTCCTGTGTCCAGTGGTGGCTCTGCAGGGAGGGTGACAGCTCCTGCTCTGGCTGAGCCCCATGCCTTTGTCCCTGCAGGGCCGGGCAAAGGGAGATCCCTGCTCCGCCTCACTCCCCAGGAGAAGAACGTGTGCTCCGAGGCCTCTGTGGAAAATTTTCTCAACAGCACCCTCAGCACCCGGGTACTGCCCGCCCTCTACTCCGTGGTCCTGCTGGTGGGGCTGCCAGCCAACGCTCTGGCCTGCTGGGTCCTGGCCACCAAATTCAGGAGATGCTCCAGCACCATCTTCCTGCTCAACCTGGCTGGGGCCGACCTGCTCTTTGTCCTCCTGCTGCCTTTCAAGATCTCCTACCACCTCCTGGGCAACAGCTGGCTCTTTGGGGACTACCTGTGCCGTGCCATGGTGGCCTTCTTCTACGGGAACATGTACAGCTCCATCCTCTTCCTCACCTGCATCGGCCTGGAGCGCTACATCTCCGTGGCACACCCGTTCCTGTGGAAGGGCTCCAGCTGGGAGAGGGGCAAGGTGGGCATCAGTGTGGGCATCTGGCTGGTGGTGGGGCTGGCCATGAGCCCTCTGCTTCTGCGCTCCCACACACACCGTATCTCCAGCCTGAACATCACCACGTGCCACGACGTGCTGGAAAAAGAAACCCAAAAGTTCTTTGGCTATTATTTCCTGTCCCTGGTGGGGCTGGGCTTTGGCCTGCCCTTTGTGCTCATGACAATCTCCTACAGCTGCATCCTGGCACGGCTGCTGGCCAAGGGAGAGAGCTACGGGCACGTGGTGCGTGTCCTGGCCCTGGTCTTCCTGGTCTTCGTCCTCTGCTTCACGCCCAGCAACGTGCTGCTCTTCATCCACTACGTGCTGGAGCCCACGGGCTGCAACAACAGCACCTACATCTCCTACGCCCTGGCCCTGGTGCTCAGCGCCTGCAACAACTGCTTCGACCCCTTTGTCTACCTCTACGTCTCGCAGGATTTTCGGGGCTGGGTCCGGGATGCAGGAGGTCGCTGCCTGCGGGGGCTCGAAGCCTCGTCGGGGAGGTCCACGGAGAAGACAGCCCTGCCCCTGAGATCCAGCGAGCAGAGCCAGGGCTGCCAAGCTGTGTCCCCCTGCCCCGGGGATGGGGGAGCCTGAAATGTGCCCTCCACGAAGGGTTGGCAATAGACTTGGGGAAAAAATCCCAGCTGGGTCTGAGGTTCATGAGGATTTTGCCTCAGTTTTGCTCCCCTGATGACACGAGTGCTGCCCAATCCCATGGGACCCCCAGATGGGTGCCTGGCACTCCGATGTCCCCCCCCGGCATCCCTCACCGTTCCTCCTGCAGTGACCAAACCCTCCAGAGTACAAATAAACCTTTATTTCTCCCTGCTGGTGGCAGGAACAGATACAAACACCCTCGCTGAGGAGGGGCTGCCCTCCATCGCCAGGACTGCACGCCAGGCACACACGGCCAGCCCTGCTCCTGCTGCTCCCCCTTTCCCCCCAAAACATGGATGCAAGAAAGGAAGAGGGGATGGCTTGGGTGTGCTGGCCCTGCCCTGCAGGCCCAGAGCTGGAGAGGGGACACGCTGGCACCCCGTGCCCCCTGCCTGGCACGGTGCCGTGCTGCCAAAACATGCGGGCACCACGTTCTTGCTTTTGTTTTTTCCCCTTTGCTTGCGTCCCTCGGTGCTGGGCTCGATGACAGATGTGCCACCCACGAGCAAGAGCACAGGTGGCAGCAGTCCCAGCCCTCCCACGAGGGGCTACCACGGCCCAACATCCTGGTGACCACTTGTCCCTTTGGTTCCCGATCCCAGCCTGGCTCCGGGATGAGGAGGAGGAGGAGCGTGAGGGTTCCACGACGTGGGAGTGTGGGGTACCCATCATCTCTGCCTGCTGGGGGTACCCATCATCGCTGCCACCGGGCACGACTCGACCCCCAGGTCGGTGGCCACCCCCTTTGGCACAGCGGGTCACGTCACCGGCTGGCCCGGGCCCGGGGGTTGGCCATCGCTCTTCCTGAGGATGACACTGCTGAGCTCCTGGATCAGTTTGTCACTGATGGGTGACGGAGCCTGCAAGCTCCTCTTCCTGGGCAGCTCCTGGGAGCTCTCTGCCGTGGGGCTGCTCCCCGCTGTGGCTGCCTGCTCCCACTCCCTGCCCAGCGCCAGGGAAGGCTCCACGTTCCTCTCCAGAGAGGAAGTTTTGGTGGGTGGGAGCCCCGGCGTTGGAGCTTTGCTGCTCTCCAGGTTCAAGCCCCTTTCGAGGGACACGGCTTTGGTGACAGAGGGACCTGTCACCCTGTGGGCCGGGCTTGCAGGCAGGGAAGAGCGCAGGGCGGTGCCTGGGGGCTGCTCGGGGAATGGGAATGGCTTCTTGGACCTGTCCACGGGGGGCACGGCCGCCAGCTCTGCCAGCAGCCCCTGCCCAAGGTCCAGCGCCGCCAGCTCGGGGAAGTTGCCCACTTCCTCATAGACAGGATCAATGTCTGCCTCCTTCTCCTGCTGCTCCTCCAGGGAGTCCTGGTGGATCTTCATGGGCTGGGGAGGGCAAGGGGCAAGGTGAGGGGCAGTGCCCACACGGGTCAGCTGTACCCCTCTGTCCCCTCTCCCCCTGCCCTCCCTGCACTGCCTGGGGACCCTTGGCCCTCGCCATGGGGCCGACACCTCCAGCAGGACTCTTAGCTCAGGCACTGCTGCCTTTTGTTCCCCATGGCTGAGGAAGGGGGAATTTTGGTCCCAGGGCATGGTCTGTGCCACCAGCCCAGCACCCCTCAGCAGAGGGTTCTGGGGTGGGGCGGGCAGGTGGATGCCATGCAGAGCACAAAGCCAGGTGAGATGAGGTTCAGCCCCGTGGCCTTTTTGGAAACAACCTCATGGCAAGGCACATCTAAACCTCTTCCCTCACATTTTTTCCATTGATATCCTGTGGGAAACGTGTGCCCAACGGGAGAGACTCTGGGAACTGGGCTGGACTGGTGTGGCCTTGCCCACACTGGAACCACGCAGGGACCCACATCCCCAGGAAGGGAACACAAAGAGCAGCGGGCACCCCCACGTCTGCCACATCTCAGAGTGCCCGTGGGATGCTGCAGGTGAGCCCTGGCACAGTGCAAAGCCAGCAGAGGATGCTCCACGTGTGCAGGTACTTACAAAGAACATGGACAAAGTCCTTCGCGTGTGCAGGCGGCGCTAGAAACAGAGGAGACGGACAGGGGTGAGCACAGAGAGCGAGGAGCGGGGCTGGGGGGGGCCTGGGCAGGCACGGGAGGGGCAGAGGGTGCAGGAGCCTGCAGGCACAGACAGCTGCCACAGACACGGGCACAGACACGAGCATGGCACCCAGCACACACAGCACCCATGGGTGCACCAGCCTCTCCAGGGTGGTCACAAGGTCTCGGGACGGGTACAGGATGGGTGCAGGAGCACCTGTGGGCAGGGGGAGCTGCAGGGGCTTTACCAGGGTCTGGTTGGCAGAGAGCATGGTGGCATCAGTGCTGTCCCCGTGCAGGGGCACCAGTGGCATGGTCCCGAATTTCTGCTTGGCGAGGTCGGAGGAGGAGCGTCGGCGCAGGACCACGGGGCGCAGGTCATCGTGCTGTGCACAGGGACAGGGTGGGGACACGGGTCATGCCCTGCCAGCCCCGTGCCAGCCCCGTGCCAGCCCCGTGCCAGCCCTGGGTGGCACAACCAGCCTGCACCCACCTGAGCCTTAAGGATGCTGGTGGTCCAGTCCCAGAGCTCAGCCTGCCCTGAGCACACCAGGTACCTGCAGAGCAAATAGTGGAGAAGCTGCCAGGGAGTGGGGACAGCGGGGCCCATGTCCCCTTGTCACCTTGTCACCTTGCCTGTGAGCCTGGGGCTCTCAGGTTCATCTACAACCCATGGGGCCAAATCTCTGAAAAATCTCTGCATGCCCAAATCCCTGCTTTAGGGCAAAGTGAGAGTTTTTTGGGCACCTGGGATGCTGGTATGGGTGGGGAGGCAGGAAGGCTGTGTGGCAGGGATGTGGGTGTCCCCTGGAGCCTGGCTCCCATCCTGTGGCAGGGACGATGTGGCCTCACCACTCTGCCTCTCAAGTGCCCCAGCTCTGTGCTGACCCCAGGGCTGTCCCACTCCCACTAAAACTGGGGACACATCTCGACCTCCCCCAGCCCCAGGATGGCAGGGGAGGGTACTCACAGCTGCTGCTTGTCCAGGGTCAGTGTGAAACCCCACCTGGAAAGGAACACGAGGCTCTAGGGCAGCACTGCCAAGCTCAGACACAGCCTGGGGTCTGTGGGCAGTGGGGCAGGGGGCTGAGCTCGCCCCACGGGCATAGGCTTTGGGTGCAGGTGGAGCCTGGTGTTTGGGTGCCAGGAGCGGGGACTGAGGGATGGAGATCTGGCTGGGAAGGTCCCACTTACTGAGCTGGTGGCTTCAGCTTCTTCCTAATGCCCATGTAAACCTTGGCTGCGTCCAGGGGCCACTCCCGCTCTGGCTTGGCACTCTGGGGAAGGACATCCAGGGGGTCAGCCCAGCTTGGTGCCAACCTCCTGGCCACGAGGACAGCCACCGCTGTGTCGCTGCTGTCCCCAGGCTCCTCCTCCCTGCCTCTCCTCCCACCCCCGGGGTCAGGTCCCTCCCACAGCATCCCCCGGTACCCTCTTCTCCTTGAGCAGCAGCAGCCTCCTGTCGCGGATGACGAAGTAACGCTCCTGAAATTTGTTCCCCAGCAGCTTGGGGGGCTCCTCACGGCATTTCAGCAGCCCACACTTGGGGGTCTCACGCTTGGCACCTGCCCAGTGTGGGGACATGAGGGTCAGGGGGGCCGGCAGGGTGGGAATGCAGGGGGATGCCACTGTGGGAGCAGGGCAAGGGGGTGCTCAGGTAGGGCTGTCCCCCTCTGGGGACACTCTGAGGGGCTGGGTCCCTTACCTGTGAAGAGACAGCTGCCCTCACCAATGGGCACCTTCCTCACCAGCAGGTATGCTGCACTGGGCTCTGGGAGCTTGCACCACTGCAAGGCCTGCTCCAGCACCTTCTCCTTGGGGTGCAGGGGCCGCTCTGGGGACACAGGGACACTCTCACCACTGTGTCCCCTTCCCTGTGCCAGTTCCTGTCCCCTCTGCCACCACCTGAAAGCCACCCCCCGTACCCCACACACAATTTACAAAATGACCACGTTGGAAGAGATCTTCAAGATCATTGAGTCCAGCCCAACCCTAACACCTCAACTAACCCATGGCACCCAGTGCCACATCCAGCCTTGCTTTAAACACATCCAGGGATGGTGACTCCACCACCTCCCTGGGCAGACCATTCCAGTACTTTATCACTCTTTCTTTGAAAAGCTTTTTCCTGATATCCAGCCTAATTTTCCCTTGATGCAGAGACTGTGTCCTCTGCTCAGTTGCTGCCTGGAGAAAGAGCCCAACCCCACCTGAGCACAGCCACCTTTCAGGGAGCTGTAAGAGTGACAAGGTCACCCCTGAGTCTCTTTTTTTCCAGGCTGAACAACCTCAGCTCCCTCAGCTGTTCCTCACAGGGTTTGTGTTCCAAACCCCTCACCAGCCTCGTTGCTCTCCTCTGGATGCCCTCAAGTGTCTCAACGTCTTTCTTAAACTGAGGGGACAGAACTGGACACAGCACTCAAGGTGTGGCCTCACCTGTGCTGAGCACAGGGGAACAATGACCTCCCTGCTCCTGCTGGCCACACCAATCCTGATCCAGGCCAGGATGCCGTTGGCCTTCTTGGCCAGCAGGGCACAGTGCTGGCTCATGTCACACTGTGCCATCCCCCCATGCTCACCCAGCTCCCCGTTCTCCAGAGCCTCGAAGGTCAGCCAGATGTCCAGGCTGGCGGCCACGTTGCGCATCTCCAGCACCTGGTTGGTCAGTTCCTCTGCTGTCATCGTGGGGGACACCTGGGGCCGGGGACACGGGGTGTGCAGGATGGGTCTCAGGGAGCCTACTGCAACCCTAAAACCTGGGAGTTTTGAGCTTTCTGTGCTTTCTGGCTCTGACCCCCAAAAGAACACTGCTTGTGACTTGAGGCCTTGGAGAAGGCTTCCAAAATTGAGTGATAGAACTAGAATCACTGGTGTGTGGTTTGGATAGAAGTGTGTCATGTCACACGGTGAAGGGTTTGGAATTTGGGGTTTTGGAATATAGTGATAGGTATGGGACAAGATGGAGGTTCTGGGTCATTGGCTTTTTCTTCCTTCTTATTCCTTCTTCTTCTTAGTTTTAGGTAGTAGTTTTTAGTTGGATAAAAAGTACTGCACTGGGGTCATGGGGGTTTGGTCATTAGGTCAGAAGTATAAATAACACAGATGTTAGTTTTTAATTGGATGGTTAGGCCTTAAGAGACCTTGTAATGAGTGAGATAAATCTCCATTTTGTCATTTTTAGCTTGTTAGCTGAAAGTGCTGTGGCACTCACTGTACTATAGATAAAAATTAATAAACAACTGAGTCCTGTCTCTCGTGCTTCAATCCCAGCTTTGACTGAAGGCAAAAGAAAAAAGAAACTAACCACTAATAGCACCCTCCTCACCTGCTCTGGCACAGCCCTGCTGTGGGACTCACCTTCAGGGTGACACAGCAGTCGGGCACCTTCTGCTCCAGGTACACCTCGATGATGAGGTCCCCTGCCTGGGAGAGCTGCAGGGAGAGCATTGCTGTGATGCTGGTGTGGGTGCTGAGCACGTCCCACCTTCCCAGGGCTGCAGATGGGGTCCCAGGAAGCTGGGGCTGCCTTTCCCCTGGCCAGGAGCCTCAAGGTGACGGGCACAGCGGAGCTAAGAGGGGGAATGTCCTTTCCCAAATGTGCACCAAGGGTGGGCAGCTGGGAGTGTCCCCATCCTCCAGTCAGTCCCCCCAGCCCAGGGGTCCCTGATGTGGAGCCAACAAACACATTCCCAGTACCTGAGTGTCCTTCCAGGTGGTGATCAGGCTGTTCTCCAGATCCATCTGGGATACCTGATCCTCATCAATCTGCCAGAGGAAGGGTGCACAGGGTCAGAGTGGAGGGGGATCCGGCTTGAGGACACAGGAGGGAGGCAGGGGGAGGCAGAGGTGGGCGGTGTGGGGGGATCCAGGGGGGGATGGAGGCCCAGAGGAGGCTGCTGCTCACATTGAAGATGCTGACGTAGTTGTCGATGAGATCTTCCATCACCTTGACCTCGTGCTCCCCTTTGCCATCGGTCTGGAAGAGGCTGGGTGCGAAGAGCAGCGACAGGTTCTTGGTGCTCATCTGGTTGAGGTCTGCACATTTCTGCACCCTGGCACGAGGAGTGCAGAGGTGAGGGGCTGGTCCTGCTCAGGGTGGAGTTTCTGCCCCAGCCACCCTCCTGTGCCTCCTACAAACAGCCTGGATGTCCCCTCAGCAGTGGGAACTTCAAACTGGGCAGTTCCAGTCTGGAGAACTTCCCTCTGCCATCAAACCAGACAGCAGCACTACCTCAAACTCTGACTCAGGGATGGCAGTCGAGTGTTTTCTCTCTTTTTGGGGCACTGGATGATATTTATATCCTACAGGGTGGTGTTCCCTAGTCCCAAACCTCCCCCTTGCTGCAGGATGATTTTGGGAACGTTCAAGGTGTCGCAGACACGTTCCAGCATCAGCTGTGTGGGTGGAGCAGGGCATGGGGCCCTCCCTGTCTCTTAGGGAGAGGGGGCAGCATTCCCTGGGCAGCAGGGAGACCCCACAGTGCTGGCTGGACCGGGGGACCCCGAGGGGAGGGTCCCACTGACCGGTAGAGGTGCCCGATGAGCGCGGCCAGGGTCTTGTGGTTGAGGCGAGGCAGGCGATGGATGAGCTCCTTGTACCGCTCCAAGCGCTGCGGCTTCGAGGAGATTTCTGGAGGCAGGAAAACCAAACGCCGGCTGAAGCCAGCAGATCCAGAGGTGACACGGCACCAAGGAGCCATGCAGGCAGCCCAGGGTGGAGCAGGGCAGGGTGAAGGAGGTACCTGCAGCCTCCTTCCACTGCGGGTGCAGCTCCAGGGTGAAGATGGGATCTTCCAGCTCGCGGAAGAATCTCTTCAGCACGTCAGTGACGTCCTCGATGAAGTTGTCGCTGATGCGCAGCTTGACGTTGCGGGCGTCCCGCCGGAACTCCTCCATCAGTACCTTGATCCGGGACTTGGCTCCGTTCTTGCGGTAAATCCCCTCGTGCCGCAGCCCTGGGACAGGGACATGGGGTCACAGGGGCTGGACCCTGCTCGGAGGATCCCTCATGGAGCTGGTGACCCCCCCCCCCGGATCCATCGGCCATCCCGAGGGGTTGGAGGGTGCCGGGGTGTGCTGGGCTCACCGTACTGGGTGATGAAGGCGATGCAGGAGTCCACGATGATGGGGATGTCCCCCCGGCTCAGCTGCTGGTCCCTCAGAGCGTTGCCCCGGCCCCCTGCTGACGCCTGGATGTCACCGTACCACGCTGCCGAGTCCGCCCGCGACAAGCCCTGCAGGTAAAATGTCCTGAGAACAACAAGGGCAGAAAAGAGGGAATGAGGGGTGTCACAAGGGCAGGTTGTCCCCTCCTGCCTGTGACAGGGAGCGAGGGCCAGGCTGAGCCTCACCAGGATTTGGGCATAATTTAAGATTTAGTTCAAATGAAGCTTTATGTATTGGCAGTCCCCACTTTTACTGCGACTGGGGGGAGCGGGAGTGGCTCGGCTCTCAGCACTGTGCTGGAATCCCCTCCGCATTCCCAGGAGGGAGGAATTACCCTGGGTGGGCTTGGATGGAGCAGCACTTCCAACAGCGAAAACCAGCCCCAAATAAAAAGGGGAAAAGTGGATGCAAAATTCCCCCTCCCTGCTCGCTCTGTGACAGGGAACAAGGGCCAGCGAGGCTGAGCCAAGGGCCACCCTACCCCACCAAAACACCCCTGCAAGCCCCTCGGTCACAGCCCTGCTGTCCCAGTAACTTGCCCACCAGGGATTTGGGATCAGCATTGCCCCATCCCTAAGTGCCTTTGCCTTTGCTTGGCTCATTCCCCACTACCCCAGGACTCACCTCCCCATCTCCACCAGCACCAGCAGCTCCTTCTTCTCCGGGGCGTCCGTGGGGGGAACCAGACCTGTGTTGGGGTGAGAAGCTGAGGAGTCAGAGCCCCGTGTGGCCACCACGCGGTGCCGCTGCCGGGCCACGGTGTGGCACTCACTGAGCTCCTGCAGCCGCCGCAGGTTGATGCTGTCCTCGGCCCCGTCCTCCTCGGCGGGGCAGATGAAGAGGTGACCTTTCTGCAGGATGAAGAAGGCCCTCTGCCAGCGCTCGGGGTTCAGCATGCACTTGTAGCGCAGCTGGCCCACGCGCTGGAACTCGTAGCCCAGCAGGCAGTGGCAGCTCACGGGGGTGAACCACTGTGGGATGGAGCAGATGAGAGGGGTGAGGACAGGGCTCTGCCCCCGAGGGATGGGGGCAGGTCACCAGGGAGGGTGGGAGCCCCTGGAAAGTGAGGAGAGTGCTTCCCGCAGTGGATGGAGAGCGTGGGGAGCTGTGAGGAATCCCAGCAGGGACAGTCTGGGGACACGCTGGGGCTGGCTCACCTTGCCGATGGCACTGGCCCAGGCTTGCAGCGTTTCAGGCCCATCAGTTCCCAGCTGCTGCACCTTTTCCCCAGTGAGGAACAGCTCAAGGGTGAAACGAAACCTGCAGAGGGTGAAGCAGCCCATGAGGGCAACCCCATCCCTGCCCCCAGAGCCAGAACAGCCACTGCACCGAGCAGGGAGCCCGGCCCTGCTGTCTGTGTGCCCCACACCCTATGGGCATGGCTGGGGACAAGCCTGGGGGTACCTCTCAGTGGGGCCAGGGCTGCTGACGGCCTGGTGGGCTCTGTTGACCCCCAGGGAGATGAGATCCCCGCTGTCAATGTGGCCCAGGGGCTCGGTGCATTTCTCAGTCTCAAAGAAGAGCAGGGCTCTCTCCAGGGAGCACCACGTGCGCTGGAAATCTGCAGGAATTGAGGGGTCAGTGGCACCGGGGTGGGCACCTCTGGCTGCCCTCCCAGGCTGCCCACACTCACCCTCTTTGCTCTTCCTGGCCCCTGGGAGCTTTGGGGGGGCCGTGGCCCGGTACAGGTACCCGCTGTGTGTCACTGGCTGCGTGATCTCGTTGTAGACGCCCTCGGGACCTGGGTCCTGCGCACGGGGGCTCCCTGTGGGACACAGTGCTGAGGGTGGGGAGCACCAAATTGTGGGTGCCAGAGGGAGATCCCACTCCTGCAGGTGCAGGCATGGGATTCCCTGAACAGGGACTCCAGAGGAACCCCCTAATCAGAGATTGCGGAGGAATCCTTAACCCAGGGAGCCAGGACACCTGACACCCTGAGTGTCCCCAGGACGGGCAGCAAAGAGGAATTTCCTCCATCCCAACCAGGTGGGGCTCAAGGGTTCTCCTTACCTGAATGGTTCCTGGGCCTTTTGCTCTCTGGTCCCCACCAAGGGTCGGCCCCTGGGGCTGCCTCGCTGGCAGCAGGATCAGAGGCCAGGGCAGCCTCCGAGGATGAGAAGAACTGCAGGATGGTCTTGAGCAGGGCTGGTCCTGCCACTGCAGTGCACAGCGCCTGGGGTGGAACAGGCACATTTAGGGACCAAGTCCTGGCTCATGGAGACCCCAGATCCCACCCAGAGCTGCCCCAAGGCAGCCAAACCAGGGCACAACCTCCCAAAATCTGCCTGGCACGAGGGACTGAGAGCACACAGCCAGGCAGGAGGTGCTGGCACCTCAGACCAGGAGCTCTGGGGTGGCTCCCAACACCTCGAGGTGTCCCCTACCTGGAGCACCTCCTCCTGAGTGCCGTAGTGGGGGTGGGGCAGGCGGTACCGTCCCTCCCGGTACTTGCGGGTGATGAAATCCCGTCTCTGCTCGGCGCTGCTGTCCGGGGTGATGGCCTCGGTGGCGGGGAGCCGAGCAGCCCAGAACCGGTTGGCTCGGTCATTTCCCAGCACGATGAAGAGCTGTTGGAGAGTCCCGTGGTCCCCAGGGTCAGCAGGAGGAGCAGGATTCCCACAGTTCCTGAATCCCCTGGGAGATTGTGGGGCTGCTGCCCTGCCCGAGGAGCAACCTGGCCCCTGAGCACAGCATGCCCTGCCCTGAGTGCCTCAACTCACATTTCATTGCACCCCTCTCTCACCTGCACGATATCATTGCACCCCTGAATATCTCACCTGTATTTCATTGCACCTCTGAGTGTCTCACCTGCATAATTTCATTGCACCCCGTCTCACCTGTGTGATTTCATTGCATCCCTGAATATCTCATCTGCACAACTTCACTGCACCCCTGTCTCATCTGTATGATTTCATTGCACCCGAGTGTTTCACCTGCACAATTTCACTGCACCCGAGTGCCTCACCTGCATTTCATTGCACCCCTGAGTGTCTCACTTGCACGATTTCACTGCACCCCTCAATGTCTCACCTGTACAATTTCGTTGGACCAGACGCTGGTGTCCAGCTTCAGGCTTTGCACCTTGGAAATGTTGGAGCCCAGGCTGCGGTGCTGCCCTGCAGGGAGCAGGAGAATCAGCACCCTTTGATCCTGAAGTGAATCCCAGAGAACTGAACCCCAAATTATACCCACATCCCTGCCTGCCAGCCCAGCCCAGCCCCCCCAGGATCCCCCTGTGCCCACCAGGAGCTGTCCCACCTGCACACTGCTTGCAGATGACCACGCACAGGTTGATGGATGCCCAGTCAGGACTCTGAGCCCAGCAGTCAGCGCAGTATTTGTTGGCTTTGTTGGACCAGATCTTCTCTGCCACCTCGTAGTCGTAGAGCATCTCAGCGATGGCCTCCTGCAGCGCCTCCATCCACTCCCGCTTCTCCCGCTCCGACTCCGCCACGAAGCTGGGAGCAGCAGCACGACAACACTTACTTGTTTTGGTTTAGGGTTCTCTTAGGTAGCAATATAGGATAGAACCAAAAGGGTGAATTCTGTCACCAGCTGTGGCTTTTTCTGGCCCTTATGGGGTCTTCACCCTTTCCTCCCAACTAGCTCAGGTGTTAGGGTGAAGCCTCCCGGGCCCTTGCCACATGGATTTAAATAAAGATAACAAAAGAGGCTCTTTCCCTCTAAGGAAGTTGCAGGGTTTATTTGTCGTGGGTAGCGAGGAAAGAGGGCACAGGTCTTTTCTAGGGTCTGAAAGGGGGGCGGGGAGAAATTGGATCTCGGCCAGCCAGGTATGGCCAGGAGGGAGAGGGAAAAGACTACAGGACATTGCAGGGGTCACGGAATGTCCCATATCCAATGCATCTAGGGAGATGCAACAACCAGCTGTTAACCCAGCTGTGGCAGGGATCCTGATCTCTGTGGGGATCTCTGCTGTTCATGTTCCAGCTGTTCACCCAGCTGTTGCAGTGTTCTTTATCTTGCCCACAGCCCATCCTCCCTCCAGGAGATCTCTCCTGTTCATGGCCATGCAGTCCCAGGGCAGGGCTGATCAAATTCCATCATCCCATTGGGAGATGCTCCAGCCAGGGCAGGAGCCGAGCATTTCCTACCCAGATCAAAGGGGAGATTTGGAACAGCAGAGCAGCCTTTTCCCACTGGATCCCAGAGGAAAACCAGAGCCTTGCACATCATCCCTGCAGCTTTGGAGGAAAACTGCACCTTGTGCAGGAGCCCTGCTCCAGCAGAACCACATCTGTCACTGCAGGAGGATGCAGCCACCATGGAATGGGACTGCACCAACCCTGACTGACTGACGGGGGCACCTTGGATTCTCACTCTGCCCCTGCTCTGGGTTTGTTCTCTGCAATACTGGATTGCTATTTTAATTTTCCTAGTAAAGAACTGTTATTCCTATTCCCATATCTTTGCCTGAGAGCCCCTTAATTTCAAAATTATAATAATTTTGAAGTTAAGGGGGTTTACATTCTCCATTTCAAAAAGAGAGGCTCCTGCCTTCCTTAGCAGACACCTGTCTTTCAAACCAACACAAGGGTAAATTTGGGAGGAAACTTTTAAATAGGGTTTTTTTAGGAAACAGATTTAAAGGAGAAGAAGGAAAGGAAAAGCTGAAAATCCTTCTCCCCTGCTTCTCCTTTAATAAACTGGGTGCAATTACTAATAGACTTTTAAAACATGTTGTTGGAACTGGGATGCAGAGTAGGACGAAGAAACTATAAATTATACGTACCTGCAACAAACCTTAGTACTTTTACAAACTTTTTATAAATCATTGTTAGTGAGCTCAGTACAATAGTTACTTTAATTCTGTAGAAACTACGTGTTAGGGATACTACTGGAATTATTTCTGGATAAGAAAATAAATTTAGGGACTAGAAAGGTATTAAAACTTTAAAGAAGCTTAGGGATTAGAGTCATATGAAGGCTTTTACCTTGAGAGACATTATGAATTTAAACAATATGCTTACTGACTGCTTTATCTTAATACAACATAATTACAACTAAAATGCAATTAGAATACTTTTTCTTTTTTTGTTTTTGGTTTGTTTTTTTTTTTTCTTCCTTTTTCAGGAGGGGACTGCAGCAAGCAGCATGTGTGCCCAGCTCCCTCCTCATCCCCCCAGGACACCGGGGTACCTGAACGTTTTGGAGGGGGTGATGAGCTCGAAGCTGCGGCTCTTGGCCTCGCGGATGGTGGAGCCGCGCATCTCGATGAAGCACATGGCAATGCCCATTTTGAAGAACTGCAGGGCAGAGTGACAGCGCTGTTGGCACCTCCCTGGGCACGCCTGGGGTGAGGGGCCTGCAGCCTGGCACCCTCAGCGTCCCATCCCTGCTCCCCCTGCCACTCCTGAGCCACCTCTCCTCTCACATAAAGCACCCTGCAAGTACAAGATGCCTTCAAACAAAGGCAGGTTCTGCCCCAAACCCCTGAAATGTGGCCATCCAGGTGCTTTTGGGGATTCAGGTCAGTGACACTCATAAAATAAATATCAGCCTGAGCCAACTCCTCGGTGCTGATGCTTAGTGCACAGCAGGCAAGCTGGAAGGGAGGTGGTGGAAATAAAAGCAGGGGTGCTGAGAACATTCAGCAGGAAGGAAGTGAGGCATTCTGCAGGCAGCAGCAGCTGTGTGGGAGGTGACAGGGACCAGCTGTCACTGTGAGTCCCCTCTGCAGCAGGTATGTGTGCTGCTGATTCTGTGGCCATAGATCCAACTGTCCTGGGATGGATTGGGATGCTTGGTGTGACCAAGACAAAAATGTCTGGTGGAGATGATAAAAATTTGGTGAAGGTGAGAAAATTGGGATGGGGCTCCACTGCTGCTGCCCTGGGCAGGATCTCCAGTTTCCTGCTCTGCTATTCCCTTTTTCCTGCCCACCCGTTTCCTCTCTGCTTTCCCTGGCTCAGCACCCTCTGTCCCTCTCATCCCTGTGGGGGTCTGCTCTGGCCACGAACCTGCTCACTCTTGTACAGCCACATCTCAGGCAGGCTCAGGGCTGCGAAAACCTTGGACTTCTGGCCCTTCAGCTCCAGCGTTCCCGATTTCTGGCAGTGGGCAGTGTTCGCAGGGCGGGGCCGGGACCCCACCAGGCGCTGCTCCATCACCTTCTTCTGCAGCGTGGAGCACCACTCATTCCTCTGGGCTGGGGACCAGGCAGGAGGGAGCGGGGCTGAGCCCTTCCCAACAGCCCTGGCACGGAGCAGAGCACCCAGAAGGCAGGCAGGGGATGGTTTGGGATGCCTGAGGGATGCTCTGGCTGGAGAAGGGAGGCAGGGATGGTTCCTTAGGAAAAGCTGGCCCAGGTTTTCACTCACCCTCGTTCTCAGCACGGAAGACAAAGATCCTGTGGCTGGTGATGACCTGGAACTTGTTGTCCTTGGTGGAACGAGCCATCTCAATCACAGACAGTGGGATCACTCCTTTGGGATAGGGCTCCTGGAATGAACCCCAGGTGGGGTTACCCCCTTTGCCCTTCCCACAGGGCACATCCATGACCTGGCACATCCTCCACATCCCCTGGGTGCTCTGCTGGTGCTTCCTCACAGCACAGCCAGTGAGCACCAGCAGCCAGATTAGGAGCTGGGGGTTCAGGAAGGGGTGGACCCATGGCTGGGACCCTATTTCCAGCAGGACCTCCCCTTTCCTGCTCCCTGTTGGCAGAGGGACCCTTGCTATCCTGGGCTCCCTATGGCTGAGGCTGTGCTGGGAGCCTTCCAGACTCCACCCTGGTGATGGCAGAGCATTTCTGGCTCATCCAGAAGGACAAGAGGAGATGTGGGAGCTCCCCAGGTGGTGTTGAGGTTCAGCCTCCCCACCCTGCCCCACTTTGGTACCTTCTCACTGCTGAAGTACATCAGGTTCTTCCCATCGAAACGGACGTAGCGCCTCTGGAAGACATAGTTCCTGTTGGGATGGCAGAAAAACTGTTGGGAAGGGGCTGAGTCCCCTCATAGATCCTTCCTCCTCCACAGGGGGACTCATAGCACAGCTGGGCTACCCAAGAGGAGCACAGTGACCAGTGCAGCCACCTCACCTTGCCCAAGGGGGTTCACCTATGGGGGCTGCCCCATCCCTGGAAGTGCTCCAGGCCATTTGGACGGGGCTTGGAGCGACCTGGAGTAGTGGAAGGTGTGTGTGTGTGGGGGGAAAGAAAAGTAGTCTAAAGTTTTATTCTGATTTTTTTGTCCTTATAGTTTCTAGTAATAAAGTTTCTCTTTAAAGTTAAGCCCATTTTGCCTTCCTCCTAATCCTACCTCACAGCAGGAAAATTTCAAATTGTTAAACCACTAAAAATCATTACATGAATAGGGTTTGGGGAGGGGGGGCTGTCCCTGTCCCTGTCCATGGCAGGGTGTGGAATGAGATGATCCTAATGTCTCTCCCAACCCAAAACCTGCTGTGATCCCACACCCACGTACCCTTGTGGGGACAGCTTGTCCAGCCAGCCACCGAGCATGGTGGGCCGGGGCTCACACAGCGACGTGAAGCTGGCGTAGGGGGAGATGGTGAGGTCATCCAGGACCTCGTCCGGGTACAGGTGTGCTGGCAGGCTGAACGGGGAGCCCTCGGCACGCGGGGCCTCCACGGTGGAATAGCCCTCGGTGTCGTTGTGGGCGATGCGCTCGATGAGGCGGCTCCGGCTCTCCTCGTCCTCGCTCCGCCCATCGCTGCTGCACTCGCTGCTCGTCCTGTGGGAGAGGGGATGTGAGGGAGCTGGGCAGCACTGCAGGGTCCGAGGTAATCCCACCCAGGTCCTGGCACTGCTCCTGGCCTCATGCTGTCCTGCTTGGGGCACCCAGGTGTCCTGGGTTACAATGGAAAGATGTGCCCAAAAGTGTGAATTCTGTCCCCAGCTGTTCACCCAGCTGTGGCAGTGATCCTGATCTCTGTGGGGATCTCTGCTGTTCCTGTTCCAGCTGTTCACCCAGCTGTTGCAGTGTTCTTTATCTTGCCCACAGCCCATCCTCCCTCCAGGAGATCTCTCCTGTCCATGGCCATGCAGTCCCAGGGCAGGGCTGATCAAATTCCATCATCCCATTGGGAGATGCTCCAGCCAGGGCAGGAGCCGAGCATTTCCTACCCAGATCAAAGGGGAGATTTGGAACAGCAGAGCAGCCTTTTCCCACTGGATCCCAGAGGCCAAGAGCTCCCAGAGCTTTCTCCAGGATCCCTCCTTCAACAAGAACACTTCATCTGGACTGCCACCACCACCCTACCTAGCGGGGTGTCAGGTTGGATTCTGACTCTGGCAGTGGTTTTTCTTTTGTACTATTGCATGTATTTCATTTTTTTATCTTTTTTTTTTTTTTTTCTTTGTATTATATTATATTTCTGACTTTGGAGTCTCTCACTGGTTTTGCTTTCAAACCAGTACACCAGGGATGTTGGGGTTTGCATCTCCATGAGTGCTCGTGGCCATCAGCAGCCCAAGGCTCATCCAATCCCTGATGGCACAAAGGCTTTAGGGAATGTCACACAGGCCACCACTCCATGTCTCCAAACCCCTGGCATCACCTCCTTCCCCTCTTCACAGGCAGCAAAAGGAAGCCAGGCAGATCCCCAATCCCATATCCTGCTCCACACCCACCCCAGCTGCTCCCTCCCCCTTCCCCTCCAACATTCCCAGCCACTACACCTTTGAAAAGGTGAAACTCCTGCCACGACCCCTTTGTGCCTGCTCTTGTGTCCAGCCAAAATTCTGAGCTGGCAGAGCTCCTGCATCCATCATCTCCATTCCTTGGAAAGCCATGCTAAACCCCCAGCCAGGCCTGCTGAGGCTCTTCAGCCACAACAATAAAAGGAAATTATAAAAATAAACTGCCAAGCCTGCCCCTTCCCATCAGCCCTCTCAGCCAGGAGTTTTTCTTTCCCTGGAAAGGAAATGTGCTGGGAAATGTCTGACAGTCCCAGGAGCTCATGGGGGGCCTCCCCAGGTGCAGTGGTGATGGGCACAAAGAGACTTGTGGCAGCTGGGACACCCCAGCACCCACGAGAGAGCATCCATGCCAAATTCCACTGGGGAATCCAACAAGGATGATCCAAGACTTGTCCCAGTTTCTGAGCAAACTGGGAATGTCCAGGGGACAGGGTGAGTGATGGGGGCAGGGTCATGAGGACTCTCCTGGCCATCAGTGCTTCAGCCACAGGAGCTGGTGGCATCCTTCCCCACGTGGGAAAGGAGCAGCTGAGCTGTTGGAATCCTCCTCGGAGATGAGGACGTTTTTGGAGAAGAATCCCACAGAATGTGAGAAAATGTCTCCAGTGTAAATTCATGAGAAGCTTCAGGACCAGGAGAAGGACCCCAAACACCTCCCCTCATAAATTCTCCCAACACCTGGTTTTGGGCACTGCTTGATCTTAGGACAGGCCTGGACAGGCACCTTCTGACACCAGATATCCCTGATGGGACAGGAGCAAACCCTAAATCTGCCTGGGAAGATGCTGGAGCCATCCCAGTGGGGCTGAGGAGGGGATGGAGAGGGAGAATGGCCCCAAAATGGACAAGAAATGGCTCTGGGTGGCTTCGAGGTCGCAGCACAAGGAAAATTGCTGTTTAATTAGCACAACAGAGCCTTGTCAGGGTAACTCATCTGGCTGGAGTCCCAGCCTGGCCTGCAGATGCTTCAGGAAGGACTGGACAGGGAATGGTGTGGCTGGAGGACTCTGTGAGTCACAGGCAGACAGCAGCCTCGAGTGCCAGGATTGAGTGGGAGGCAGACCCAGGAATGGGTCAGGGCAAGAGGAAAACGGGGAAAAAAAATCCATGACAGCCCCTTCCTGAGCTGTGACTTAGAGTCAATGAAACTGGAAGCATCTGGCAGGGACAAGCAAAGACTGGCCCAGTCCCCTGAGCCCCGTGAGGTGACACAGACACTGCTGTGCCACCTCTCTGTCCTGCTGACACCAATGGCTGGAGCAGGGCACCAGCATTTCCATTTCAGGGGGCTGAGCATCCCCAGCTTGGATGAGAAGGTAAATTCCTGCTGCACCCTCAGAGTCCCAGCTCCCAGTTTGCAGGGAATTTTGCATTCCTCCTCATCTTTCTGATGATATTTTCTTGCTGGTGAGGTGGCTCTGCCCACACCCCAAGCCAGGGAGCAGCGTGGGCCACACAAAGCTCCCCCAGAATAGGGCAAGAGGAGCTACCACAGGTAGGAAAAGGGGCAGAAAAGCCTCTCTGAAGTTTGGGACTGGGAAATATTTCCTGTGAGAAGTGGATTGGTGGCTGCAGAGGACATCTGGTCATTCCCAGTGACACCAGCATGAGGACTGGATGAGATGGAGAAACAGCAGGGGAGAATCAGGAGGTCCCAGAGAGACAGCAGAGCTGGGGCCAGGGCTGGCCAGGATCCCACAGCTCTGCTCCAGGGAATGGTGGTGGGACCAGTGGGGCTGGGTGTGGGATGAAAGCACTGGAGCAGCTGATGATGGAGTCTGTGAGCACAGGGCATGCTGGTGCTGGGCTGGGAGAAAAAAAAACTGTGAGCTGCTGGCCCTGATGGTCACATCCTGCCTCTTGTCAGCAAGGCCAGCTGCAAAACCCCACAGCTGGCCAACTGCCTTGGGATGTTCTGGATCCCAACTCCCTGGAAGGCACTGGATGCAGAGGGGTCAGTGCCCAGCTCCTCTCTGAGCTGGTTCAAAGGCTCCACAGGAGATTTCAGTGTTTCTGTTTACAGCTCTGGCCACAGCAGAGCTGAAGGCCACAGAGCTGCAGCTCACCTCGTCCTCTCTGAGCAACACAGGAAAAGGAACCCTCCCCATCCGAAATGGGAAGAGCAGCTTTCCTTCCTCTTTCTGAGATGCTATCAGGAGTTATGGAAAGTACATTTCAAAAGGGTTTTAAAGGTGCCTCTCACAATTTCTCTGTCCACCAGCACAGAGTGACTGAGCAGCAGACGCTGATCTGGTGCTGCTGGAGCCCTCAGGGACTGCACAACCCCTCACCCGGAGCTTGGAGCCACCAAATTTCTGAGTAATCCCCATCTCCCATGGTGTTTCCCTGTTCCCAGAGGCCAAATCCAGGTTTCTCTGGGTGTACAGGTGCTGCCCCAGCTGTGAACTCAGAAATCTCTTGCCAAGCACTGTCCCCCCAAGGGCCACCCACCAGCACAGCTCCTTCTCACCCCCGAACCCATCAGCTCTCCTAGAGACTGCTGACACCATCCCAGACACTCCTGATCAGCTCTGCCATCCCCAAAAACCCCATCCCCTCTCAGGCTGTCCCCAGGGGTGTCCCCTGTCCCCTGATGCCCAGCCCAGCCTAGAGCTGATCCCTACCTGCAGCCTTCTCGCTCCAGCTCCAGCTCGGACACGGCCTCATAGCTCTGCTCAGAGGAGATGCCAACACCCTGGGAAGAGAGGATGGTCACATCTCCTGTCCCCTGTGCCATCCCAGACCCCCTCAGCCTGCCTGGCCAGCAGTGCAGGGGCTCAGCCTGTGACCCTCAACCCAAAACACAGAAACACAGATTCTCCTGAGCTGGAAGGGGCACATCCAGTCCAGCTCCAGGCTCTGCCCAGACACCCCAACAATCCCACCCTGGGCACCCCTGGGTGTGGTGTCCAAACACTCCTGGAGCTCTGGCAGACTCGGGGCTGTGCCCATTCCCTGGGAATGCCCAGCAGGCAGTGCCCAGCACTCTCTGAGGGAGGGAAGAACCTTCCCCAGGCACTGCTGGGCACCGTGGCCTCACCAGCTGCAGCTCCCAGCTCTGCAGCAGCTGGTGGGATGCAGAGTGACAGCAGGGCACAGCCACCACCCCCACAGTGTCCCTTTATTAGTGGCACTATATAAATCTAAAAATCTAAAAAATTGTTTTTTCGCATTCCACTTCGTCCAAACAACACTCCTCAATTTGCATTTTCCGTCCCAAGTATCAACAAACAGAAATTTCCATCTTGTCCCGTACCTATCACTATATTCTAAAATTCCAAACTCCAAACCCTTTACCATGTGAAATCACACACTTCTTTTCAAACTACACATCAGTGGTTCTAAGTCCATCACTTAAATTTGGAAGCTTTGTCCAAGGCCTCAAGTCAAAAGCAGTGGTTTTTTTAGGGTCAGTGTCAGAAAGCACAGAAAGCTCAAAACTCCCAGGTTTTAGGGTTCCAAACCCTCACCTTTGGCTCCCGGGGTGAGGCCACGTGGCCAAAGATGGTCTCGCTGTAGGGGCAGACTGGAGGATCATTCACCTCTGTGGGCAGACACGGGGGAGGCAAAGGCATCAGTGGTGAGGGAGAGACCAGCCAGGACTCCCAGTCCTCGAGAGGGACCCCCCTGAGCCACCACAGCACACCCAAACACCCAGGGCACCTGACACAGCGACACGTGTGGGGTTGGGCTGTGCCTGGAACGGGCCACCCCAGCCCCCGAGCCAGGCAGGAGGGGGGACAGGGCTGGGGGACAGGCAGGGTGTGTGGGTGACCCCCTCCCCCTTCCTCGGGGACACCGGGGGTCCCTGCTGTGCACGGGTGCCCCGGGGGGGCTCTCACCTGGCTTGCTGCTGGGTCTCTGTGGGATGGGGGGCAGGGCTCCACCGGGCCAGCCAGGACTGTAGGAAAACAGGACAGGGGTTACTGGGGCTGGACTGGGATCTGTGGTGTCCAGTCCAGCTGCTGGACACTGCTCCTGAGCCCGGCTTTGTCCCCTGGAATGTGGAGCATCCAATCCTTGCTCCTCTCTTCCCAACCCTGGGAGTGCCAGGTTGTGTTTTCTGTCTCTGTGGGGCATTTCCCACCCCAGCATCTCCCCCCTTGGACATTTCCCTCGTTCCCAGCCCCAGAATCCTCACTCAGCCACCCCCTCACCATGCTGGGGACCCCCCAGCCCTGCTGCCAGAGGGGCAGAGAAAGGGCAGCAGCCTCTCCCTGCATCCAGGAGGAGCCATCGGGGGGCCCAGGGCTGTCCTGTCATCTCGGAGGGATCGCAGCTGCCGCATCCAGAGCTCGGGGAAGGCACGGGGAGGATGCTGAAAGGGACTTGTCAGCACCTGGGGTGGGTCCCGGGGGTGGGGGGGGCCTCTCTGGATCCTCATCTTTGCCTGCTCTGCCTCCCTCTCCCCTGCTAATGCTGAGGGAAAGCATCGTCTTACTCAGACTTGTCCTCGGGCTGGGTCTGCTCCTGCAGGGACAGAGCCGGGGACTGAGGGACTCCCTCACCCCGGGGTCCATCCTGCCCTCCCGCCTCCTCCGAGGGTGCCGACGGGCGCTCCAGTCCCTCGTAGATGATGTTGGACACCATCTCCAGGCGGGCAGAGGCTGCCCTGGGGCACGGCGAGGGGTCCCTCCGGGCTGGGGCGGGCAGGGCAGGGCTGGGTGCTGGGGGACCCTCGTGGGCACTGCCAGGGCCGGGCTCGGCTGCCAGGCCCCGCTGTCTGTGCCGCGGGGGAACGCTCGGGGCGGCCGGGGGGGATCTCTCCGCTGTCTCCGGGGTTTGTCCGTGGCTCGGGGGTGGCCGTGTCTCCTCCCGAGCGCCGTCCCGCCCTCTCAGCCGGGATGCGATCACACCCATGGCCACGGCTGCCCCGGGATCAGCTCCGCGCTCCGCGCTCTCCAAATCCGTGGAGCTCTCCCCTGGCACAAACCCCTCTAGTACCACAAAAGCTGCTGGTGCCCTCTCGCTGCCCGGGCTGTGTGCTGGCACCGCTGAGCGTGCGGGGGGCACGGGCACTGATCCCTGCTCTGCCTTCGAGCGAGGGAAAACCGTCCTTGGTTTGGGAATGGGCTTCAGGGCGGCAGGAGCGGGGTCCTTCTCTCCCGGCGCTGCCTGGCTGGGCACGGTGACACGAGGCTGCGTCCCAAAGGCGTCACTAGTCCCTCCCGGCTCTGCTCTCATGGCATCCTTGCCCTCCTGGGGGGCATCCAGGAGTTCCGTGCCTCGGGAGTGGGTGTCTCCTGCTGCGGGTCTCCCCCGGGGTTGACTCAGCATCCGCGTCTGCTGCGCCAGGGTGAGGATCCTCTTGCGGTGCCCGGTGGCGGTGATGCCGATCTGCTGCAGGTGGTGGCTGTCCAGCGAGGTGGCATCTCTGGCCACATGGTATCCGTGCTGCTTGAAGACATCTCGGTACCTCTCCAAGTGGATGGTGGCCAGCCAGTCTGCAATATCCGAGTCAGGGCCGCACGGCGAGCTCATGGCCCTGGGGTGCCTCAGGGACGGATGCTCAGCCCATCATCTGTGCAAGGAGGGGAGGGAGAGAGGGGCTGAGGAGGCAGCGGGAAGGGAAAAGGGGTGGGTTCAGCTGCCCTGAAGGGTGGGAGCGCGGGATGCTCGCCGAGGTGTCCGCACCTCGCTGCTCCACAGCCAGCTCACCTCTCAGCTCCAGGAGCCCGCATCCTGCTGCTCCCCAGCCCCAGCCTCTCCACCGCTCCTCGGAGCCGGATCCTGAGCCGAGCCCGGGCAGGAACTGAGCCCGGGGGCTCACGGGGGAGCGGGTGGGCGAGCAGATGTGGAGGGCTGGGACATCCCAAGCTCTGCGGGGCCGGGCGGGCTGGTCGGAGCCGCGCAGCCGCGGGGGTGTCCCGGGCAGACACCGCGGGGAGCAGCGGGGCCCCTCCCAGGGGATGAGCTCCTGTGCCGGCCAGCTCGGGGAGGGCTCTGCGGCCGGAAGGGCCAGACCATAATCTCTCTCTCTCTCACTGCTGGCGAGGGCATGGGAGAGGTCAGCATGACTCACGGGCAAACAGAGGGGGGACAGACTCCCACCCACCCAGCCACCCCCGGCCCGGCCGGACCTCCCACTGCCAGCACCCGCACATGGCCACAGAGGTGGCTCGTGTGCCACCAGGGACGATTCGCCAGCCCAGAGCCTGCTGAGGGCCTTTTTCCCATGAATCACGCAGCTCCGCACTAAACCATCTGTGCTGACTGTGCTGCCACTGGGTCTTTTTCCAGTTCCTCCATTTCCCTCTATTGTTCGGCTCAGGCTTCCTTCCTGCTGCCTGCACGCTCCCACGCATCCCCTGCCCCCCTCCCGCAGGAGCCGCGTCCCAAACGCGGCCGGGAGAGCCGGGCTGAGCCCCCGTGCCCAGCACGGGCAGGTCCCCGTGCCCGGCCCCGCCTGGCAGGCAGGGGATGCGTGGGTGCCATGGGCGAGTGCCCTGCGAGGCTGCGGTGTCCCCGCCAGCACGTGGGGGACGCTGTCAGAGAGGGGGAGGGACAGTCACAGCAGGGGCTGGGACACGGGGAGCAGGACAGGGGGACAGGGCTGGTGTGGGACCTACCGAAAAGGCAGGGCAGGGCGGCGATGTCCCACAGCGATGTGGGCTGGGTGTTTGAAGGGCTGCACCCACTTGTGCCCAGCAGCTTTGGGGAAGAAATGGGGCGATTTCCCCCTTTTTCATGACTGTATCACCCTGAGGGATCTGCGGCTGGCTCTGCCCTGCCCGGGGCTTCTCCAGTGAGGAGATGGCTCCTGAGACCTCCCCGTTCGTGGGGCTCTGTGCCGTGCCGGCCACCACGCTGTGGTGTGGCACTTTAGGGCAGTGAAGCCCAAAAAAAGTGCCCACCTGCACTTCATGGGCAAGTGGGCATCATCGCTGTGCCTACAAACCCATGCCCAGCTGGCACAGCGAGCATGGACCGTCCCAGTCCTGGCCCTTCCCCACCGTCCCCAAATCTGTTCCCGTCCATCTCCTGCCACCCTCGCGGTTGTCCCTCACCTCTGGCGCTCCGCAGCCCCCCGGCACGGTGGTGGCAATGTCGTGTGGGCTCCAGGGTGATGCCAGGGCAGTCCCGTGCAGGAACTGCTGCGGGCTCCGCAGCACCCAGCCTGCGCCTCCCACTGCCGGTCCCTCCTCCAGGCCAACCCTCTGGTCCCCATCCCTGTCCCACCCTCTGTCCTGTCCCTTCCCAGGCATGACGCTGCCCTGGCTGTGCTGTGTCCTGTCCCCCAGCCAGGCTCTGCCTTCCTTGGGGCTAAACTGGGGAAAACAGGCTGGGTGGGTGAAATTTGGGGAACATCAAAGCCTTTGTGCTGCAGAGATGCTGGGAATGCTGCACCTCGTCCCATTTCTGGTGCCCTGTGGGCGGGGGGATGTGAAGTGAGCTGAGGGGCAGGGGGACAGCAAGGGCTGCGGTGGAAAAGGGACATCCAGGGGGATTCTCTTCTGCAGACAGCCTGAGCTTTCACCACAGACTGTGCTTTTAACACAACACTTCTTGCAAGAGCCCCAGCAGGGCTGGCGGTTGGTCCAGCTCAGCTGTTACCCAACCTTGAGGGTGTCAAGGCTGATATCTCACTCCTGATGCCGTGCCTGATAACCTCTCCCTGCCCTGTGAGGGCCCAGAGCTCGCTCCAACTCAGGCAGGTCCTTCCCCACCCCAGCAGTGCCCCCAAAAGCCATTGTGGGGGTGGTGTGGGAGGCTCACCCTACACAAACCCTGAGTGCAGCTCAGCGGGGAAAGGCAGGTTCTCACCACAGGCTGCTCCTGCAAAGCAGAAGCAGAATTCAGCACGAGCCTGGAAAGGATTTTGCTTTCCTCCCCTTTCCCCGGCAGCTGCCACAGCAGGGAGTGACACATTCCCTGGGCTGGGCATGGCACGGTGACCCCATGGGCAGCGTTGTGGCGGGGTGTGGGGACCCTCAGGGTGCCTGGGGACCCCCAGGGTGTGCAGGGACCCTGTGGCCATCCCTCCAGCTCTCAGAGGAAGCTGTTTGGCTCTGCTGTTCTTGGGAAGGCTGCTGAGGTCTGTGGTGTGGATGGGAGGGACAGAGCACAGGAGATGTGTCACCGTCCCCGTCCTGCTGTGCTGCAGGCACTGCAGCAGTGAAGCGCAGCCTGGCACCCTGCAGCTTCTCCACAGACACAATCCCAGGCAGGGTCAGGCTGGGAGGATCCACAGCGGCTCCTCTGGTCCCAGCTCCCTGCTCAGACAGAGCTCAGGGCACAGAGTTGTGTCCAGAGACCTCTGGAATATCCCCAGGGAGGCAGGGACACTGCACAGCCTCTCTGCACACTCTGCCCAGGGCACAAGTTCTGCCTCCTGGGCAGGGGCAATTCCTGGGATCAGCCCCTGCCCCTTCCCCTGGTGCCACTGCTGGGACCTGGAGCAGAGCCTGGGACTGCTCTGACCCTCCTTGCACACGGGGACACACAGGGACAGACAGACAGACAGACAGGGGCAGACAGACACACAGGGACACACAGGGACAGACAGACAGACAGGGACACTGAGGGACAGACAGGAACACCTAGGGGTGAGGCCCCTCTCAGCTGGATCTCCTCTCCAGGCTAAGCATCCACCCATCCATCCATCCATCCATCCATCCATCCATCCATCCATCCACCCATCCATCCATCCATCCATCCATCCACCCATCCATCCATCCATCCATCCATCCATCCATCCATCCATCCATCCATCCATCCATCCATCCCTCCATTCATTTTCATTCCCCGCTCCTCTCTCCCTCCTTCCCTCCCTCCCTCCCTCCCTCCTTCCCTCCTTCCCTCCTTCCCTCCCTCCCTCCCTCCCTCCCTCCTTCCCTTCCTCTCCTTCCATCGATCCTTCCATCGATTCATCCATTGATCCATCCCTCCCCTGCAGGGATGCAGTTTTTGCTGCACCCTGGGGCAGATTTTTTTGCTCTACCTTCAACCCTACCCACGCAGGTTCCTGCTGGGGGATGTGTGGTGTGATGGTGGGAGCATCTTTGGGGAGCAAGACTGGGTGAGGGACACTCAAAGCTCATCCCTAGAGAGGAAATATCCCATGGGACAGCTGGAAATGTGGGGCTGGGACTGAGGTTGGAGGGTTTGCAGGGCACGGCAGAGCGCTGAGCCCGGGGAGGGACTGGGGAGGAGGAAACTGGAGTCTTGGGAAAAGGCAAAAACCCTGCTCAAGGCCAGATCAGGAGGCTGCTGGGACGGCTCCTCGCTGGAATCAGAGTTCTGGTCTGGGTGGTGAGGCCAAAAGCTGCCCAAGAACCTATCCATGAGCTCAGGAGATGCAAATCACGGGATCCAGGGATGGAATCACATCCTGCCGCAGCAGGGGCACGTTTGACACGGTGTGTGGTCAGGATGGAGCCCGTGCCACGCTCCCGCTGCCCCCGATCCATCAGCAGCGGCTGACATCACTGCCTCCGGGCTAATCTCTCGTCCAGCAGCAGCTTCCCGTTTCCTTTCCAACCTCTGCGCTGGGAGCCGGGCAGGAAAAGCTCCCAGCTGGGCTCTCGTGCGGGGCCGCAGCCCCCGCGTGTCTGGCTCTCACCCCACCGGGCTCTGGGCCGCTCCCGCTCCCCCAAAATCCCAGCCAGGGCCCCCGGGGGGCTCCGAGCCCCCTGCACCCTCGCTCGGGATGTCGAGCTGGTCCCTTTCCTGTTTGTGCCGCAGGAAACGTAATTCCAAAAGAAATCACTGCGCTGGGGATGCCGGCACCCCCTGGTGCCCCTCCAGCCCCTCCAGTTTCACCCTGGCTCATACTGGGGGCCAGCAGCTCTCCTACATCCCAGTGCTGGATGCGGACCAGTGACGGGGACACTCTCTGTGCCACCGCCATCGCATCTTGGGATGGTCTGAGGTGTCACCCAGCCCGGCACAGCTTTCCCCGGGGCTCCCGGTGCTCAGGCAGCAGCTCCTCACTCCCACTCAGGGCTGCCTAAAAATAACCCCCGGCAGAGCTGGATGGAGCCTGGATCCTGCGGAGAAACATCCCGGGAATGCGAAGGGATGAGGCTGGGTCTTCACCCCAGCAACCGCGGGCTCGGGTGCCAGTGGGTTCCACTCCATCCGGGCAGCACCCAGGGGTGATTTTCCACTGTTCCCAGCTCTGCCAGAGTGGTTTTGGGGCAATTTGGGGCTGGGATGTATCTTTTTACAGGTAAAATAATCGCTGTGTCTTTTTTGCAGATAAAAAACACCCTCGCTGTGTGCTGCGAACTGCGGGGTGCGAACTGCACATCCCTCGTTCTTGTTTTCCACATTTTCCTTGCAGAGGTGGCTCCTGTGCAGCCAGCCCAGCTGCAAACCCCGGGATCCGGCTGTCGGGACAGCCAGAACTCTCCCAGCACGGTGTGTGATGTCCCCCGAGGCAGCGCAGGGGACATTTGTGACCTTACAGGGTGGCTAAAGGGGGACAGCAAATATCCACGCCTGAGATGCTGGGGTGCAGAAAAGCTCCAGGTACGGGGGTAGCACACACAGGGCAGCTCTGGAGGGGTGTGAAGCTGGGTCAGAGGGACCCCAAAAGCTGCAGTGACATCACCATTTGCACAGATCAGGCTCAAACCCAGCTGGGGACGGAGCCCAACAGCCTCGGAGGGTGGGGGCGAGGAGTGGGTGGAAAATCCCTCATTTGTCAGCGTATTCCCACGGCACCGCCTGTCTAGACCAACTTCCCGCTGTCCGGTGGAAGCTGCCCCATACCCGTGGGGGTGCAGAGCCTGGCATCCTCCTGTCCTGTCCTGTCCTGCTGTGGCCACTTCTGTCCCTGCTGAGGAGCTGCTGGGGCTGCCTGGATGGACCCTCCTGTCCCGCTCAGACCTGGATGCCTCTGGGTGGGCTCCGTGACAGCCCCCCCCCTGTCCTGTGCCCTCCCCATCCTGTGCCAGCCCGCTGAGCTCTCGCACACACACCAACCCCTTTATTGTTGTGCCAGGAACCACAGCAGCGGCAGACACCGGGGACAGTGGGGACACGGGTGGCCCAAGACCCCACTGCCACGACAAACCCCACAAACCACCCGGGGAAGGGGTCCCCAGAGCCAGCTGGGCTAGAGCCAGCCTGCAGAGGTGAGCCTGGTGCTCAGGAGAGGACCTGGGAGGGCTCCCTGAGATGGGGGGTGTCACACTAAGCTTGGAGGGATGTGGAGGGCTGCAGTGGGTCCAGCCTGACCTCGGGCTTGGCAGAGCTGGACTTCAGGCCAGACGGGATCAACCCAAACCTTGTGCTGCTGCAAAACCTGGGCAGGACCCTCACAGACCCCCCCCACTTCTGGGCTTTTGAGGGTTTTAGAGTGGCGGAGCCATATCCTGGTGCCAGGAAAGCTCCTGCCCACCTCAGCCTCTCTTGGAACACCCGCTGCCAGCACTGTCTCCTGCAGGGACATCCTCGTGGGCACAGGGAGTGCCCATCCTCCCTTTTTGCAGCCCCTCTGACACAGATCCCACAGGACAATTCCCCGCTGCCTGGGTAGGGAGGGGGGGTCAATGATGAGGGATTTAGAGAGCAGATGTGACTATTGGGAAGCAGGGAGCCAAATTCCCAGCTGTGCCCCCTGGGTGCCAAGCCTGGGTGACGAGAGGATTCCCCTGAGCACAGGGCTCAGGCCTCGTGGTCGCTGGTGCTCAGGTGCTCCTCGGGCAGCCCGGTCTCGTCGATGTTTTCCAGGGAATCCGCGTGCTGCACGGAGAGCTCGGCCAGGCTCACGCTGGGCAGAGTGTTCTGCTCGGGGAACACCCAGGGCTTGTACTCGGGGTCGTGCCGGCGCTTCCACTCCGGGTACTTGAGCCCAGCCTTGTAAATCTTCTTCATGGCCTGCGGGCACAGCGGGGCTGGGCTGTGGGCACAGCTGCCAGCTCCCCCATTGCAGGTTTTGGGGTGCTGGGAGGGGATGGGGTCTGGCTGCCCCAGCGATGTGCCCAGTGCATGCCCGGTGTCACCCAGCACCCATTCTGTGAGCTCTCCCCTCCCAACACCCCAAAACCTGCAATGGGGGAGCTGGGAGCTGAGCTGTGAGCCTTGGATTACCCAGCACCCATCCTGTGAGCTCTGGACCACCCAGCACCCACCTCATGAGCCTTGGATTACCCAGCACCCATCTCATGAGCCTTGGACTACCCAGCACCCATCCTGTGAGCCTTGGATTACCCAGCACCCATTGTGTGAGCTCTGGACCACCCAGCACCCATCCCATGAGCCTTGGATTATGCAGGACCCATCCCATGAGCCTTGGATCATCCAGCACCCATTCTGCAAGCTCTGGGTCACCCAGCACCCATCTCATGAGCCTTGGATTACCCAGCACCCATTCTGCAAGCTCTGGGTCACCCAGCACCCATCCTGTGAGCCTTGGATCATCCAGCACCCATCCTGCGAGCTCTGGACCACACAACATCGGTCCTACAGGTCTTGGGTGACCCAGGACCTGTTCTGTGAGCTCTGGGTCACCCATCCTGCCCCCACCCAGGGGTAATTTGGGCATCTCACCCCTGCTGCCCACTGGACACGAAGTCCCCTCCTTACCTTCGGTGCCACAAACTGGGACACGCGGTTCACCACCCACTTTGGCAGCGACCCTGCAAGAGCCCAAAGTCATTCAGAGAAGCGGGCCCAGCCCCAGGGGAGGCACCACGAGCTTGCAGCGCCCTCAGGGCTGGGGTGGGCACCCCTTCTTCCTTGGGCTGTGCCCATTCCCAGGTGCCCGGGTGATGGAGAGCCAGGGGGCAAGCTCGGGGGGAGGTAATAGAGGATGCAGGCACCTCACTCACCGCGAGGATCCACCTGGGTGAGGTAATAGAGGATGCAGGCACCGTCCCCGTTCGCCTTGATCAGGTAACCGGTCTGCAGGGACACGGCTCTCACGAAATCCTTCCGGGGTGGGTATTTCTGCAGAGAGATTGCGGGCACCTCAGAGCCTGCCCAGCCCTGCCCGTGCCCCTGCCAGGGCTGGGGGGCAGCCGGGGGCTCACCGGGTGCTTCACGCTGTAGTTGATGATCATGTAATCATTGCCCAGGGGCAGCCAGGAGCGCAGCGTGACGAAATCCCGGTTCTTCAGGGGGCTCGGGCACTTCCCTGCGGGCACATCCTGTTACCCCCAGCCCCCATGGCACCGGGGGGTGTGGGGCTGGGGGCTCTGGGGGGCTCAGGGGCTGCTCACAGGAGTAGTATCCCACATCAGCGTTGACGGTGAGGCGCCCGATGTCGTAGGTCTCGATCATGTTGGAGTCCCATTTCTTGCGGTAGCGGGTGTCGTGCAGCACGTCATAGAGGGTCTCTGCGGGGACATCCTTGCAGGAGATGCGGGTCTGCGGGGACAGGGGCGGGGGGCAGTGCTGCAGCGTGTTTCTTGTTCATGCTGTGTTCTGTTGTTGCCCAAATTAATGGTTTAGTCCCAGATTATGCCCTCCCACCCACCTTGTCAATCTAGCCCTGTCAGTCCTGCGGGGTGCGCTCCTGGGGAATGTGGGGTCTGCTCCAGGGGAATGTGGGGTCCGCTCCTGGGGAATGTGGGGTCTGCTCCTGATGGGTGTCGGGTCCGCTCCCGGGGAGTGTCGGATCTGTTCCCTGGGGGTTTGTAGGATCAGCTCCGGGAGTGTTTTGGGTTCCGCTCCCTGGGGATGTGGGGTTCTCTCCCTGGGGATGTGGGGTCCCCTGCCGGGGGGGATGTGGGGTTCTCTCCCTGGGAATGTGGGGTTCTCTCCCTGGGGATGTCGGGCCCGGCTGTAACCGGAGCCGCGGAGCTGCGCGGCCGCGCCAGCCGTGCATTATTGATGAAGGCGGCCGCCCTGCTCCTCTCAGCGCCGGCAGGAGGAGGGAGATGTCATCTGCTCCTCGTTAGAGCCCTTGCATCTTTGATGAGGTGCCGTGTAAGCGGAGATGGCCCTCGGAGCGCGGCAGGTCCCATCAATCTCGGGCAAGCTTTCCCCGGTGGCCCGGGTATGGTTTGTGCTGGACTGGTGCCCGGGCCGGGCTCGGAGATGTGCTGCAGTCCCCAGGGCAGCGGGGGGAGGGTGGGAGCACCCAGCCCCCTCCTCCTGCTCTCCCTCCGTGCCTGCACCCTCCCAGCGGGGTCTGGAGGATTTTTCCAGCTCCTGGGCCTCCTGGAAACTCCGGTTGTCACACTGTAGTCTTGCACCCCGAAATTCCCCACTAAAGACTGTCCACCATCCCCGTCCAGTCCGGGATGGGCAGTTGTGCCAGGCACAGCCGCTGGGATGGGGAAAGCACAGAGCCCAGACCCATCCACAGGGGATTCAGGTGGAAAAAATCCAAAGCTCCAGCTGCTCAGGGAATCTCTGGGATAATTAACTCCCTCCGTTAACGAACACACTGAGGCTCTTCTGACCCCGAGAGAGCTCGGGCTGGGTGGCATCCTCCATACCATGTTTTGGGAAGAGGCTCTGGGCAGTGACAACCCCTGCACCATGCCCAGACTCTCTACAGGGTGCAGAAAAACCCCATTATTGCACTGAACCAGGCTGGGTGATGGTCCCTGACTCCCGTGGGCCTGCCTGGGGTCCCCTCTCTGTGGGGGACATAACTGCACCCCCCCTGCCAGGCTGAGGGTTGGACCCCGGGGGTTCCTGCCAGCCTGTCCTGGTCACTCTGAGCAGCATCCTCGTCTCCAGCCCAGCTCTCACTGATGTGGCCACAGGGAAGCCCTGTCCAAGGCTGGGCCTGCTGGATCTGCTCCCACCCACAGAGCCAAACTTGTCCCTGCAGAGGCCATCAGGCACGATTTACCCTTGGCAGGTCCTTGCTGCTCTCACCACTGCCCTCCTCCTCCAGGACACAGCACATCCACAGGGATGGAGGTGACACAGCAGCCCACAGTGCCCCAGAGCTGCTTTTTGGGACACGGATGTGATGTTTGCCTCTTCCCAGTGTCAGGGACCTGCTGCAGTCACCAGGACTTTGCAAAGAGGGGTTGGCCTGACCCCTCAGCACCCCCTGGCCCTGTGCATGCCCAGCTGGGTGAAATGCTCCCTGATGCAGGTGGAGAAGCTCTTCCCTGGCTCATGGCAGCAGGGAAACGTGGATTGCAGCTGCAGCTCTGCCGAGAGTGCTGCTCCTGCTCCTCCCCCTGGCCCTGAAGGGTCTCTGTCCATGGCAGCAGTGCGTGCCCAGCTCCTCCTCATGCCCCCAGCTGCAGGGGAGGTGCTGCTGGGTGTTCTGTGTTCAGGACAGTGATGGGAGAGCCTCTTCCAGAGCGTTTTGCCCTCCTCACGACCCCCCCCGTGCCTTCCCTGCTCTCCAGGCCTGCCCTGACACTCCTGGCTGAAGGCTCTCCAGTGGCTGGGCTGTCCTGGAGGTCGGATGTTCTGCCTCTCCTCGCTTTGGCTGATCCCACCCCAGCCCAGGGGTTGGGATTCTTGGTGACCAGAAAAGCCCGTGATGCCCTCCGTGGGCTCACGCTGTGCCCTGCAGCCACTCCTGATGTGCCCAGGGTCACCTGGCAGTGCCACTGGGGCTGTGTAGGTGAACAAGGTACCTGAGAGGGGGCTGAACCTCCCTGTCCCTCTGCAGCACCCCAGCTCCCGCCCCCGGCAAGAAACAAACCTCCCAAAACCACCCGGGGCTCCTGCAGGATCTCATCCCATCGGGATGCCAGGGGATGTGCCCAGGATGGCAGAGCCAGGGACAGGACACCAGGGACTCATCCCCTGAGCCTCTCTCGTGCCCGGGGGCTCCGGCAAGGCATCTCCATGATGTAATCGATGCCAGGGCCTTCCCGACAGTGTCGGGATGGGGGCAGGCGCCACGTGAACCCACGGGACAGGAGGCTGCGGGATCCCGGCAGGTAAACCCCGGGGCGAGCAGCAGGGAAGAACCTTCTGGGGGTCTAACCTCGGAATTCGGGGCAGGAACACCCCCAGGCAGGCCGGACTGAGCATGTCCAGCACGGGGCAGTCCCCAGGGACCCTCGGGCACACGGCTGGGGCAGGGAAGCATCTCCTTACCTTGATTTTCTGCACGGTGCAGCTTTCCTCCTGGCCCTGACTCCACACGGTCACGCCAGCCTTGTTATACCGGCAGTGCCAGCCCTCCAGGCTCTCGCACTGATCCCTGAAGGAGCTGAAGTCGGAGTCATCCGGGATATAAACCATCTCCCCTCCTCTGGACATGGGGCTGAGCTGCTGCTGCCCCCCCCGGGCGCGGGCACTGCCTCTGCTCTGCCTCCCCTCCCGGCAAACCCAGCTGTGCCCTTGAGCTCCGTGCCCGCTGCAGCTCACATCATCCTGCCAGCCCCGAGCCCGTGCCCCTGGAGCTGCCCCGGGGCAGCCGGGGATGGGCAGAGAGCTGCGGGCAGCCCGGGAGATGGGCACAGACCCGCAGGCAGCCCTGGAGATGGGCAGGGACCCGCACACAGCCCAGAGGGCTGCAGGGCTGCTCGGCTGCAGTTGCTATCGCAGCTGCCGGCAGCTCAGATGTCTCTCCGGGCTCTCTCAGCAGCATCACATTTCTCTCCGCTGCCTGTCAGCTCGTCTATTATTCAGCAGGTAGCAGCGGGCAGGTGGCTCGGCTTTCAGGGCACAGCTGCCCCCGGCTCCCCGAGCCCCCCGTGCTGCCACCCCTGCTGTCCCCTGGCAATCTCTGTGCCTGACTTTGCAGCAGAGGCTCGCTGGAGGGATCAGCTGATGCCAGGAGCAGCCGGGGGGTGCGGGCCAGAGCGAGCCCTGGGCTGGGGGCACGGGCTGGGGCACAGGAGTTGGCTCTGGCACGGGAAAGAAAAGAATTTGTGATGGGGATGTTGCCCCTTGCTGGGCTCACAGCGTGATGCACCCCCAGGGGTGTCCAGCCCCCCGCTGCCACCTTGAGCAGGACAGCACCAGCACAGGGGAAGGTCACCCATGGCTCACCCAGCCTGGATGGACTTGCCCACCTGTCCTGGTTTTGGGTAAATTTGGGAGGAAACCTCTGAATGGGGTCCCTCTAGGGAACAGATTCAAGCAGTCCCTTCCCCAACCGGTTCTGCAACTGGACTTTATGATCCCAGCACCATAAACTCACCCCAAGACAGCACCTCAGTCCCACAGCTGTGCCAGCTCCCCAGGGAAAAATATCAATTCTACTGCCCAGCCTGAAGGTGCAGTGAGTGTCCCTTGTCCCTTTGGTGCAGCCACGTCCCACCGAGAGGGCCTGGCTCTGTCCCCAGGGCACGTGCAGGGTGCTGGGACATCCCACCCTGCCTCTCCCCCTGCCAGCAGCATCTGCTGCTCCTTCCCAGCCCCTCCATCTCTCCCAGGACTGGGAACCACTCTGAGCACAGAGCTTGGGGTTGCCTGGTGCTGCACGTGTGGGGGCCACATCCTGCTCAGGATGTAGCTTGTCCCATTTGTCCATCCTCCTGTCCAGAACCTTATCCAGGACCTTTTCCCAGTTCCTTTCACTGGGATCCTGCTCAGCCTCTTGCTCCCCAGCCTGCCTGAAACCTGAGGTTGTCTTGCCCATCTTGTTGATGTCCACAAGGATTCTCCTGACTGGATTTTGGGGTTCTTGAAGTCCACCTGGAACGAGGCTCTGCCTCTCTCACATCACTTCCCCTTGGATTAGCCTGACCTGCAAGGCAAGGGTGCAATTCCCTCCTCATCCAACCCTGTGATGAGCTTTGGGAAGAGCCCCAGTGCTGACCCCAGGACCAGAATAACCCGGACACTGAAAAATGAGGAAAAACTCATGGAAAGGGGAGCAGGGAGCAAGCTTGGAGAGCTGGCTGGGGTGGGGGGGCTGCCCTTGGCTGTCCCTGCTGCTCCTCCAGGCACTCAGGCTCTCCATGGGGCCGTGCTTGGGATGCTCCAGGGTGCTGAGTGCAGAGCTGCTGCAGTGGGAAGGGAGGGGCAGATCCCGGCTTGGAAAGACCTTGGGGTGGCCTTGGGGCTGGGAGCAGGGAGCAGGTCTGGCCAGACAGATTTATGGCCCCGTTGCTGCAGTGTGCTGTGGGGTGTGTCCCTGTGCAGGGGGGACTGTCACCCAGGGACAGCCTGGAGAAATGAGTGGGGTGGGGGCTCTGGAGCTCCAAAACCTGTCCATGGGGTGAAAGAAGGGAGAGCTCTGCAGTCCTGGGATGGAGGAGCCCCCCCAGGCTCCATGGGAAGGAGCAGCTGCTTGCACAGCACCACTGGGGTGGAACCAGCCCTGCTCTGCACCTGAGACATGGGAGTGTTTCTGTCCCTGGCTCTTCCTGCTGGAAACTCGAATGGAAAGTTTTCTTTCCCTTCTGCAGCAGCCCCTGGGGTCAGTGCTCAAGCTGGAAAACTGCTCAGCCACCCAGGAGCTGCCTGGTCACCATCACATCATATCACCCCTGGGCTGAGCTGGGTTCCTTGTGCCCTTGGAAGCCCTCAGGGCTCCAGCCAACCCCTCCACTGGGGTGGATGAGTCCAGAGGAGGCCACGGGGATGCACCAAGGGCTGGAGCTCCTCTGCTCTGGAGCCAGGCTGGGAGAGCTGGGGGTGCTCATCTGGAGAGGAGAAGGCTCCAGGGAGAGCTCAGAGGCTAAAGGGGCTCCAGGAGAGCTGGAGAGGGGCTGGGGACAAGGGATGGACACAGGGAATGGCTTCCACTGCCAGATGGGATATTGAGAACCTGGCAGGGTGGGCAGGGCTGGCACAGGGTGCCCAGAGCAGCTGTGGCTGCCCCTGGATCCCTGGCAGTGCCCAAGGCCAGGCTGGACATTGGGATTTGGAGCAGCCTGGGACAGTGGGACATGGCAGGGGTGGGATGGGATGAGGTTTAAGATCCCTTCCCAGCCAAACCATTCAGGGATTACGATGATTCTTTGATCTCAGAGGCAATTTTGTGATGTGCCCTTGAGGTCTAACAGTCCCATCCTGGCAGCTGGAGCTGCATTCTGCTGTGAGCAGCAGGGTCCTGCTCTTGGCCATGCTGTCCGTGTGTCACTGTCACAGCAGCAGCTCCAGGGATCCCTCCCTGCCGGGAGTGGAGCCTCTCAGGTGGGGTCAGGGCATGCAGGGCCCTGCTTGGAGCACCCAGCTCTGTGTCCTCCCGGTCCCTTCCTCCTCCTGCTCCTCTTTTCATTCTCCAGGTCCATTTTAAACCCTCCAAGAGTCTTTACAGACACCAGAGCTGGGATTTCCATGCTGGGGAGTGGGGGTTGCAGGGCATTGCATGTGGGTGTTCACAGCTCCATTAATGAGCTTGGATGGTTCAGCAGGATGAGTTTCCAGCCTCTCCAGAGCTGGAGAAGAGCATCCAACCCCCTCGGCAGTGACTGCTCCTGCTCCTCCGAGAATCGCCTTTGAAAGCCTCTGCAAATTGGAATGAAAATGTTTTTTGCTACAGAAAACGGTTCTGTTTTGGCTTGACGTGAGCCACAACACTGACTCTCATCAGATCCTTGTTCCATCAGGGTTTGTCCCCTGGGGAATGAGCAAGAGAGTCGGGAGGAAAAGCAGAAGAGGTTCTTATCCCAGAGAAACCCAGCTGGAGCAGCCAGGAAGGGTTAGAGCTGCATCAGGAGATGGGGCTGGGGGGTGAGGATGGTCCCAGGGTGGGAGCAGGAAGGTGGGAAATACCCGAGAGATATCGGGGGCTTTGAGGGATGCAGACAGAAGAAGGAAGAAGTGAGATCCTGACCCAGGAGTGGTGCAAAACATCCCAAACAGTGGGGCTGCAGGGGGAGATCCCAAAGCCCCAGGCCTGGAGCTGAGTGTGGCCTCAGAGTCCCTTCAGGAACCACCCTGGGGTCCCAGGGGCTCTGGTGAGGCCCTAAACCTCGGGGTGCAGAGGTTTAGGATTCCCAGGGAGACCCCAGAGCCCCAGTGCCACCAGAGCCATGGGGCTGCAGTGAGCCCCAAATGGGACCCAAAGCCCCAAAGCTGCCAGGACAAGATCCTAGGGAGATTCCAGAGCCCCAGTGGGACCCCAGAGCCCTGGTGAGCCCCAAATCTGCAGGGACCCCTCAGTGCCTGGAGAGACCCCAGAGCTCCAGTGAGACCCCAAAAACCCCAAAGTTACAGTCTGGGGTCTGGAGAGACCCCAGAGCCCAAATGAGACCCCAAAATTAAGGGACCCACTAGGTCAGGGGGAGACCCCAGAGAGACCCCACAGCCTTGGGGACTGTGGGGCCACCCCAGCTATGCCCGCACCCAACCCAAAAAGTTAAAACAAACCCATCAGGCAGTGCTGGATCCCAGAAACCAGGAATTTTTTAGTTTTTTGTGTTTTCTAACACTGACTCCCAGGGGAACACTGCTTTTGACCTGAGGCCTTGGAGAAGGCTTCAAATTTGAGTGATGGAGTTAAAATCACGGGTGTGCAGTTAAATAAAAGTGTGTGAGTTCACACGGTGAAAGGTTTTAAATTTGAGGTTTTTATAATCTAGTAATAAGTATAAAACAAAATAGAGGATTTGGGGTGTTGTCTCCTTTTGGTGCTCTTCCTTCTTCATAATTTCAGGTAATAGTTTCTAATTAGACAGTACTACACTGTGGGTCACAGAAGTTTAGTTATTAGGTCAAAAGTATGAATAATGTAAGTATTAATTATTTATCGAATTATTTAGCTTTAAAAAACCTTGTAACGAGCTGGGTTCGCCTCCATTTAGCTGGTAGCTAAAAGCATTGCTGAGCTCTCTGTACTTTAAATAAAATTTAATAAACAGCCAAGCCCAAACACGAAAAAAATTCGTCTCCTTCTTGTTTTTAACCCCAACTCTGAATAAAGAAAAAAATAGAAATACATTCAAGCCGCTAATTAAGTAGTACAAATATCACCTTTCCGGGGCAGCGCCACCGCATTTCCTTGTCCCCCACAAGGGTGGCAGTGCCACCGTGCCCAGGGACTCGCTCGTGCAGTCTGGGGCTCGCCCACTGGGTGTCACGCGTGCTCCACGGAGCGCAGCGACAGCGACAGCGACAGCGGGGAAAGGACACACAGGAGGGACACAGGAGGGACACAGAGGAGGGACACAGGAGGGACACAGAGGAGGGACACAGAAAAGGGACACAGGAGGGACACACAGGAGGGACACAGGACGGACAGAAAGGAGGGACACAGGAGGGACACAGGAGGGACAGAGAGGAGGGACAGAAAGGAGGGACACAGAAGAAGGACACAGGAGGGACACAGGAGGGACACAGAGGAGGGACACAGGAGGGACACA